CAGGTGGGGAAGCCACAGTCTCCTGAGTGCATGTCCAGGCTCAAGACCTCCTGCAGCCACAGCATCCCCATCATCTAAAGGTCATCCCTCAAGGTCTCATCCAGGAAGCTCATAGCCTCAGCTGAGGCAAGGTGGGAGTGTGGTGAGCATAGGGAGCCAGTTGAGGATGAGGAGGCAAAGTGAAGAGGCTCAGAAGTACAAGCACTCTCTGCAGAGAAAGTTACTCCTGCCTTCAACCAGCCTTTTTGCATTGCAGGAGAGGTATGGGCTGTGCATTTGAGGAAGTGGCTTTTAGCTGAATGGAATAAAAGGGAACACAAAATGTTCTGTGTTCAGTATCAGAAGTCGATAGAAAGAGGAAATGGTTGTATCTCTTAAGAAGGATCTTGCAAATTTAAATCACCCCGTTAGTGTTTACGGTTAATCATGTTTTTATGCAGATAATGGTAAATTGCACAGTGATGGCTGTTTTCACTACTCTTTTTAAAGGTCTTATGGTTGAATAAATAGAACTAACATTTTTTAATGGTCATGGAGTACTGTGGTTGGTATATCTTTGCATCAGATACTCTCAAACGACTCAGACAATTTTACTACTGCTTTATGCATATTCTGGAAAACCTATTACTGGTCATCTTTCAGAGGTAACGAGACAGATTTGCATGTCACTTTTCTGTATACAATTTGAAACCAGGAGGGCCTATTAGACCATCTAGGTTGGTCTTCTACACACCCCGCCCTATGGAATTCATTAGGCACGTCCCTGTAAAGCCCACCATATTCAACTAGACAGAAATATTCTGGTCTTGTGCTCAGCAAGCAAAGGCAGAGCACCATTGCCAGCCCTTTGACACTAGGGGCAGCAGTGGTGAGCTAACCTGATGCCAAATCTTGCCTGCAAACACTTAGCAAAATCACTTTTGGAAAATGACTACTATGCATCTTGTTTTCTTTTGAGACACTTTAATTATGCAACTGTCTTCATGACAGAACATCTTGGTCTCTAGGAAGAAAAGAACATTGTCATTTGTTAGGAGAAGACAGATCAGTTGGTTTGGTTGGTGATTATGCAGGAAAATTTGAACTTCAGAATTTGAAGACATAAAATTAAAATTAGGAGCTTACAAGGCTTTCTTCTGTTTCCACGAACTGACTGTCATGATGCAGGCAAAGCAAGCTATTGCACCAGTCTTTTGTTTGAAGATCATCACCACAGATATGGCAGAAAACTGTTTTGGAGGGTGTTTTGGATTTTTTTTTTTAATGTAACAGGACTATCAGTGGTGTGACATGCCATATGGGGGGACATGCTCCATAGTTGGAAGTATTCTCTGTGTAGGTATAGGGCAGCAAAGACAACCCTTTTTGCCTCAAAATCAGCTGATTCTTGTTTACTCTGATATGCAGTAAGACAGTGTGGCTTTCTTGGGAAGCAGCAATACGATGTTCTTGCACACTTTGGGATGCAAGTCTCAGGATGTAATAAAACACATGAGCTAACAGCAAACGACCACTGACGGCTGTGAAAGCGTTGGTTCATTCAGCAGGTTTTTGGATTTCATTTTGCATGACTCATTGATGTGAGCTTTGAAGATTATTATGCTATCTGCAGTGACACCCGGTGGTGATGAAGCAGTAGTTTACCTCTGAAAACCAGGGTTCTGCTGTGACAGTTCTGCTGTCTGCAATCAAGAGCAGGAGGAAATACACAGCTGAAAGGTAGGTTTTCCTGGTAATGAGTACCACTCCTTACATAATATGAGATGATAAGTCTTAATGTAATTGTTATTATTTAAACTGCTAATATTTCTAATCGTGAGATGTGATTTCATATGCATACTGTCTGGCTTTAGCAAAAAATAATTGATATAGTTAAAAATGGGACCTGTATGTGATTGTATAGTAATCCAGTGAATACATAGTAATGCAGTTTAAAATTTAAGGAGAAACCACATAAACTTCCAAGACCAAAGCATCATGTATAAAAGGAGACTCAGTACTTGTTAACAACCATACCATCATCATAGAAGCAAAGGATGATTTGTGTTAGAAAGGATCTTTGAAGGCCATCTAGTCCACTCCTCCTGCAGTAAACAGGGATACCTTCCACGAGACCAGGCTGCTCAGATCCTGTCTAACCTGAGCTTCAGTACTTGCAGGGATGGGGCCTTTACCACCTCTCTGGGCAACATGTTCCTGTGTTTCACCACCCTCTTCGTAAAAGAACTCCTTCTTCAAATGTAGTTTGAAATCTGCCCTCTTAGTTTAAAACCATAATCCCTTGTCCTATTGCAAGAGGCCCTGCTAAAAGCTTTGTTCCCAGCCCTCTTTAGATACTGATATGCTGCTCTAAGGTCTCCCTGGAGCCATCTCTTCCCCAGACTGAGCAACCCAAATTTGTACTTTGAGTAAGTCCCATGGGTTTTCTTATGGAGCAGAGTACTAGAAGTGTGGATTTTGTACTCAAGGAAAGACTGTTTCCATGGGGCTTACCAGCATTAATGTCTAACTTGCCTTTTTTTATTTTAACAAACACATATTTGAAGTGGGTACTCTCAGAGGCTGTTATAGGAAGAAAGCAGAGTGACAGCATTCAAAATAAGGATTTGCTTAGCCAGAAGAGAGTATTTGACCTGCTGTAAACCAGACAGCATGAGTTGCCTCCCCAGTTTCAGCCTGCGTCTTTTACTGTCTTCCTCCTTCCATTGCTTAATTTTAAACGTGTTCATTAAAAAAAAAATGGTGTTGGTTTTATTGGTTTGGTGTCTTTTTTGTTGTTTTGTTTTACTAGATAACAGTAAAATTGTTAGGTATCTCATACGCCATCTTTTTTTAACTTCCTAATTGATTTTTTAAAAGTTTGTGGTTCTGTTGGATTTTCAAGTCAGCAAAATACTAGTGTCAGACTTCTTAAAAGCCTTCTGGACACGATTTAACTGATGATCCAGATAGTCATAGATCTTCAGGTGAAAACAGATATTTGCTTTCCAGCTCACCTTAGAAACTGCAGCCACACTTGGCATGAAAGGTCTCCCTTGTGGAAGTGATGAACTGTTCCCACCAGGGTAGTGTACTCACTTTCATGAATGTGTTTTTACCCAGCCTTTCACATGACTTGGTTTGGAAAGGAGGTGTGGTGAGCTAGTGAGCTCATGAATAATTAGAAAATGTGATCCAGTTAAAAGGTTGAATTTGGGCAAGAGGCAGTAGGATGAAAGATTATTACAAATAGAGTGTTTAGGAAGTCATGAGAAAAATAGGAGAGACAAGACGTGAGAAAAAAGGATGTTATCACCTCTCCCTCTGCCTTCTCCAACAGGCTCTGTCTCTACAAGCATGTCCTACAGACTGGAACACCACGCCTTAGTTAGAAGTATCTAGGTGCCTCCTTGGCATTGTGAAGGAATCTACTGACTTGGAGTAAGTGTGGCTCCTTGCCTTGAAAGGACTCGTGAATGAGAATACCTAATTTTCTACCTCTACTAAATGATTGATGCTTAGAGTATAGAAATTAAACAGAAAATAAAAGTTTCCTTGCTTTCTATTTAGTCCTCAGAGATCAGAGGGGCTGGGTGGGGCTAGGCTTAATTTCTGATTATAACCAATTCAGGACTGTAAGTCTGGCTGTGTTCAGTAAGATCTCTGATGCACAATGTGAGCTACACTCTTAAGTCTGGTCTCATTCATGACCACATGTCAACAAATAGTACAGTTTATTGGAGCAACAGGCAATCTAACAAGAATCTGTTAGATTGCCAGTGACAAATTCACTAGAGCTACATAATCTATGAGAGGGTACAGCACTATGTGTGTTTCCAGGTATGCTCTGGCACAGGTGGAAATCTTACCAGAGATATCCCTGCTTTAGGGAGGAGTGAGGAAGAAGCCTGCCAGGTTGTCTGCATGGTGGTCACATTCTCAGCCTCTGCCATGGAGGATTTAAAATACTTTTGGGAGACGTGAAGGTGAGACTATAGTCAAGTATACTGTGACTGTCATCATGAAGAGTGAGGTGGTGGAGCCACTATATATATAAAAGAGGGATATGGAGAGAGACACAGAGAGACAGACTACAAAGGCTGTGGGTCATGCCCAGAGTGGAGCATGTAGTATCAGTCCCTCTTCTACCTGGCCAGTTGCAGAGCAAAGGTAAGATTCATTAATGATTGCCCCTCACCCCATCACTAGGCCATCATGCCTACTGTAATCCCTCCAGCAGCTAGCTCATGGCATACCTCAGGAAATCCCTTCCACCACATTTGCACAGCGTATCTCATGGCTGCAGGCCTCATTCCTCCAACTGGCTACTCACTGCAGCCTAGCTTTGGTTTTGTTTTGCTCTATTTCAAGGATAATTGGAAAAGCTGTACAATAATTTTCCTTTAAAGGACCAAGATGAAGTAAGGCCAGAACTTTTAAGATCTAAACAAAGAGCAAACTCTGTGACAGAGTTTTTCATAGCAAAACGACTAAGAACTCAAGGAACATCCCTATGCCCCATTACTCTGAAACAGATTAAGAGAAGTCCTGTCAGTCATTTACAACATATAAGCTTGCAAATGCTTGTTGTAATTCACAACCTACAAGAAGAGGACTATTTAATTTTTCAACAGGAGCATGGGTAAGAATCTGCCCAGAACTGAAATTTCAATGAGTTAAAATAGACCAAACCTCTCTCACAGAACATTTCTATAAGAGACAGGATTGCTCCTATCCAGCAGGCAGTCATCAGGGAACTCATCTACAATGTTTAAAACTGCCTCCTCTGCATCCCTTTTGAACCTGCATTTCCCAGGTCTCAGTCACTATTCTACAGCCTGGCCATACAATAGCGTATGCTTTAAAGTGGATTATTTTCAATTTCAGGTGGTAAGCTCGATTTGGAATAAAAAGAACAATAGTAATTTGAGGGATATAATAAAGAAGGATACAATTAAAGTTTAAATTAATCTGCAAAAGCTATCAGATCCCAAACAAATAACACACAGAGAAAAGCATGATACAATCTAGGAAACCGTATTTAATTTTAAAAAAACAAGTTTGAAATGCCTCTGGAAGTGAACATTAATTTGCCAACATTGTTTTTGCTACGCAATTTTAAAAGAGTTTCAAGTCTTGTTTCGCAAGCACCTATAGTAATTTCATATTCTGTTTTCCACCGATTTCAAAAAGACTGCTGAAAGTTGAAATATCAGCAAAAATGTTTTGCAATTTTGTAGAAGTCTGTTTCACATATTTTAACATATTTTAGCTAAAGTTTGTAATTGACTCAGTGGAATTAGCGTTATGAAGTCAAAATTTCTCCAGTACCACAAATCTAGGTTTTCACACAGATTAAATGTGGTATGTACAGAGCCAACCCATTCTTATTTAAGGCTAAAAAGAGGAAAGTAGACTGTTCAGAATGTAGACTTCCTTTCGCACTGGTTCTTATAGCCCCAAATATGCTCCAACAGCTGCACCCTTAGGGACCTGCAGAAAAAGACTGGTCCCTTTTTGGAAGACTGGTCCCTTGGACACTCAGCTGCAAGGTCAGAATACAAAATTGATTTTGAAACAGCTACCATGTTGATATAATTTTTTTTTATCTACTATTCCATACACAAAGTTATTAAATCATCAGGAATTACCAGGAAAAACTGACTGCACTCCAAACGTGCTTCATAATTGTATGCAAAAATATGAAATGGCTGTTTTCCACAGTTTATGCCCAAAAGTGTAGAAATAGTTTAGGCTAGTTTATAACCTAAACTTTAAGGACTTGAGTTAAGAAGAAATGTGTGAAGACACATCATATTACCATCACTGACATTCTGAATCTTCTTTGTAAGATACGAAACCAAACTATTTACAAGAACTGTTTCTTTCCTCTGCCCCTTCAGCAAAATGAAATGTAGCACCAAACAGCTCCAATTAAACAATCTGATCTTTCTTCAGGTCTCCCCTTCCTAATTTTTTGCAATATACTCAAAGCATTACTTTCAAATCTGCTTCAGCTACTCAGTTTTGCACTTCTACACAGCCATACTATGTTTTACTTCTAACAACAGACATACATCTAACTTTGAGACACTTCATTGTGCCACACACAGTAGTGAACAGTTATTCAGATTTATGTCGCATTTTGTACAAATATTGCGTATAAAATGCAGATAAAAACATGAACTGAAAAATTATTTTCGGGAAGGGAAATAAAATTCTTTGGTGAGCATAGAGACAATACATGGAATCTGTTTCTTTGCATTAAAATCTTGTCGAGTTGAGCAGGACTCATACTCTGCCACTCTGCGATTGACACGAGTTAAAATCTGCATGAGTTCAAGTTCCTTTGCATGTTCCTTCAGCATTTTACACAGTGACTGAATAAACCATGAGCCTTCAGCTGAATTCCTCCAGGAGTAATAGCCTGTGGAAGAGAGTAATGTCAAAGTGATCAGCCTTTGATACAGGACAGGTCAGCAATTAGGAGAACAACGCATTATTTCCAATAGCAATCAATGTTTTAAAATAAAATCTCAAAACCACCAAGCAACATTTGGATTTTATAATCTCCACAAACTCCAACTCAAATTTTTTTTCTAATCCTGTCATCTTTTATAATCTAAGAAAACCTTAAGTAGGAAGAAAATCAAAAGGCAGGAAAATTACCTTCTGCTGCAGCAATCTTAGTCATTAATCACTCACTACTTTTCATGGGGTACACGAATACAAAGAGGTGACAGTACTACTTCTGCTAAGTGGAAATGTAAAGGGCATAAGAAGGGCTCTGTCGCTCCCAATTTTGCTTAAGGATGCAATGCTAATACATTATTTGTTGACAGACAAATAATATGCTGGTACTTATCATCCACTTCTGCATATCTGATTGTTTTGTTTTCTCAGGATAGTATCTTCTCCTCTTGCTGTAAATTATTTGCTCAATTCCAATTAACTGAATTTCCAGCAGATGAACATTTGAGGGTTTGCTAGTGAGAAGGATATATTCAGGGTTTGGTAGGGGTTTTGTAGGAACTAAGAACAGCAACTACCTCAAAAAGAAATCAAGTCAAATTTAAAAAGTGATTGAGGGAAGTAAATACGTATTTCCATGAAAGAGTGTATGGGATCTGGCTGACCAGGAGTTCATTTTCCTACAGCAGCCCTCACAGTGCTGTGCTCTGCATTGGTAGCTGGAAAGGTGTTGGTAACACCCCAGTGCTTTGGTACTGCCACCTCAGCATTCCCCCCACCAAGGGGCTGGGACTGGGCAAGATCCTGTGAGGGGACACAACTAGGACAGCTGACCCAAACTGACCCAAGGGATATTCCATACAAGTGAAGTCACCCGCTGACTGGGCCCAACTCTAAGTTGTAATTTATAGCATCAGAACAGGCTGACATGGATACAGTCCCTCACCTGGAGCTGTAGAATAGGCATACAGGAAGTCTGCCTCTACAGGTATTTTCTGACACATTGTTTCTTCTGGTCCACTGTCTGTCTCAATACCAGAATCTAATTCTGTCCCTCTACAAGCCTATTTGGTAGGAAGAAGAATGGAAAATATTAAAATAGAAGAATAAAGGCAGTGATTATAAAAACATTAATATTTTGTGTTTTAAAAATTATAATATCATGAGTAAAAAACTGCAAAAATAACAAGAATTTATGTATCACATTTCCGTTAGACAGACTCAGAAAAAAAGAAGTGACATTTATTTAAATCAACGACACAGTTTGGGTAAGATAGCTATTCATTCAAAAGTGCACTCAGAAACCCATTAAAATATTATTTAAGATTTTATTTAATACATAGCATTAATCCAATGTCAGATGTGATAAATACAGCCTACCTAAGAGAGAAAATTGTGCCACTTTAGACCTAAAGAGAATCTTACCCTGAAAGTAATTACATTTAAATCTATTTTAGAAAGGATAAACTTCTTGCACTAATAATTAGTAGGAAATGGTATTTTTTTAAAGTGTCTGGCTGATTTGATGATCATTGTTCAGCTGTACATCACCTGAATGAAAAAGAGCTTGGGTTTTCCTGCTAAACTTCTGCACCTGTCACCTCTGAAAAGGCTTGTTAGTGCTTTCAGTTCCAGAGGCCCATCTGTACCATAGATCAATCCTTCATCTCCATGGCTCAGCAACACACAAACAAAACTGCTTCGCTTGCTGTGGTCTTCTTCAGAAACTTGAAAGGAAAAAGAGAATTGTCTTAACTTTCTGTACTCCCTAAAAATTTGGAACACTTGATCCTTCCTATGTCACAGACTTTAAGAACTAATTTGCATGTTCAGAAACCTCCAAAGAGATTTCACTTCTGAACAGAAGAAGCCTGCCTACTTTACTTCAGGAGGTTGGGCACCAGAAACCCCAAATTAAGGCCAACCCTACCCATTGCAAGACACAGGCACAGAGCTAGGCCAGAAATACTGTAAGGAGACCAAAAGGGTATTCCCACGGTGTCTCAAAGGCTGAATGATACACCTCATTCATGCAATAATGGTCAGTCTTGTGATCTGGGATTATACTGATGGAATATCCTGAGTTTTGGGAAAGAATTAAGTCCTACCTCTCTTTCCAACTGGGGTTGCTTCAACTACTTGGATTACGTGGGAACTAAATGTAGTATGACAGTTGCTGCTGCTCCTGCAGGGACTTAGGTACTAGCAGAACACTTCTCTCTCTCAGTTTTTACCTGTAGTGAGGTCTAGAAAGGTTTCTCAATCCTCTTAATTTTGTACTTACAGTTATTTAAGCTTGATATAAAGTGTTTGTAGTTTTGTACTTTTTTCATCTTGTGGTATACAAACATAGTAGAATTTATATTCACCAACATCTTTTGTTGCCTGACATTGTGGGAAATGTACTTGAGGACCAAGACGGTATTTTCAAATTTATGAGAAGATACAAACAAGGTTAAAAAACATTATCCAAAAGAAATTATGAGTGGTAACTCAAAAAGATGCAAGAGTTTGTAGATGAAAAATGAAAACAGTCCCTAAATCTGGAGTTTTACTGTTTAGTGCTTAACAAAACACTAAATTTCTGTTTTGGAAGAAATGAATTGTTTCAACTTTACTCAAGTGATGTACACTGAGGCATTTCTACAATTTATGGACAAGCACTGCATTTAGAAGAGTCACATTTTCAAGTACTGTCAACAGACCAGCTGAAACAATACTAATGAATTAACCATGCCTGGGAACATTTTCTGGCATAAACATTAACTGGCACTAAGAAACCTACAGTGTTAGCAAACACTTGCATTAAAAAAAACCTAAAAAAATAAAAAAACAATAAACCCAAACAAAATCAAACACAAAAACCAGGACCAGGATTGCTGCAGACCAACTGCTCTTGGGAATAATCACTGGAACACTTTCACTTTTTAAGTATGATCTGGAACAGTCTGGAAGAGCACTAGTGGGCATGAGTCCTTTCACAGCAGAGAACATTCCACCAGCTGACTAGAATGGCCTGTGTTTCAGGGCTACTGATATCTCCAGGCACCATTTAATGTATGGGTCTAGACATAGCCAAGTCCAAACAAAGCAGGACTAACACAGTAGTAAAAACTCTCACTTGAGAGAAGGGTGTTTTGTTTCACAAGTTAAATAAAACGTGAATTGTTTATCCAAAAGAAAATTGAGTCCACACACCTGCAGCTCTGGTCCCTCAATGAGAGCCCCTCTTTGGGCCACACCACTAAGCATTAAGCACAGAACCCCTCTACCCAATCTAGCAGTTTTCTTTCCAACTCACAGAGCTTCAGTGATCCCAGGGTCAGAATATAAATCAGTCTGCATTTAAGTTTCAGCCTTTTTTCCATCCTTCTTTAGAAGATGAGAAAGGATACGAAGACAACAGTCATGGCACAAAAGATGGAGAGACAGCTAAGATGAATAAACATAGAAACTATGATGTATATGTCATCCTTAGCAACAAATCACCAGAAGGTGTGAAATATCATCTAAAAGAACCCAGAAAGAAGAAATGTGAGGGCCAGAGATGTATTTGGAAATAGTGGTTGACTTAATGCACACATTAAACATATAATAACTTACCCTTTTTCAATAGTTTAAAAATGTCCTCACATGAAAGATCATTGTTGATCTTTATTTTATATCCCAACTTCATAAAAACTTCTCTGACACTTGTAGCATCTGCATCTGTACCTGAACGGGGTGCCATCCCTATACATAAGAGAAATGTGTTATTTTTTTATATTATATAGATGACGTAGTCTGAATGATAAACAATTATTTTCTTGTTTATAGCTGTTACAGTCTGAAATATTCCATTATTCCCAATCCACTCTAGCAGAGAAAACATTACACTGTTACATGGGCACACCATCCCCCACACTCCGTACTCTGTATTGTAGATTTATGAGCATCTTATTTTTATATCTACTTATCTATTTAGGACATAAAAAGAATTTCATTTGCAAAATAGAAATTATGACTACAAGGTAAGACAGACTTGTACTGCTGATCTATTTTCCTCCTCATTACTGCTATACCCTAATGTGTTCCCTCTATGCATCTTTGGAAGAATGGACTGAAATGAATCACATCCATGACTAAATTTTAGCATGCAATCAAAACCGGTCTGCATATTTAATTTTGAAGAATAACACACAGCACTAATTTATCTAAATCAGAGAAAAAAGTCAAAAACTTGTGAGTGGTACCAGTATGTCTGTGGAAGTTCTTATTGTTTATTATTACACATTCCCCCATCTCTGGGTAATCCATTCTGTAACTGTAGTCTGGCTGAATTCCAGAGTCCATAGACTTGCTGGGAGGTAGGTTCTTTCTGTACAGAAACCAGACAAAATTTAGGTGTTAATTTCTGATCTCTCTTTTCAAAACAATGACAATAATATGCTACTTTAGCAAGCCCAATGAAACTGGTAAGGTTGCATTTGTAGTAACCTTCTGTGGAACTTGCAACAGGCTTCTAATTAAAAGTCTCAAGGAAGAACTGTGTTTAAAACTGCAATGCCTCTGCACAGGAGAATATGAAAACTATGAAAACTTAGTTTAAGCTAGCAACAAGAAATCGGTTGGGCTTTTTTACTATCATCTTTTGTGAACTATGTACCTGGAGGAAAGGCTAGCTCTGAGAAAGCAAATCTGTTTTGAATTCTAAGCAGAAGTTATTTTCACATAGTTGAATTTTCACAAGAAGACATTCCAAACGTAAAATGCATGCTCCTTTTCTGCTTCAGCAATAGCCACCAGTGTGATGGCTACATCTGGATGAAACTGGACTTTGGGGAGACAGCTAACACAACAGCTAAGAGCCTTAAGTCTTCTTCGACATCTAAGGGCTAGCTGAGCATGCACCATCCCAAAATATGGCTCATATGCAAATATGACTGCCAGTCACTTGTCTTACTCCACATACAGTGGGCTGCACACCAGGATGTTCCCTTGAGCAGGGATGCCTCTCTCAGTTACTCCTCAAAGCTGAGATCCCTTGCCACAGCAGCTTCTTGGTAAGTAACTGATAGCATGTAAACTTTAAAATCTTAGCTGAGTGATATTAAGGATTAATTGTGCACATAGAAGCCTTTAGACACAAACTGTTGACCAGACTTAAATTGAAAACTTAAACCAAAAGTACCACACTCACCCTTTAAAACTTGGAATAGATTTTGCATCTGCCAGATCTTGCCCCAAATGTGGTCCATCTCCTATGTCTGTCATTATTGCTTTCAATTATCAGCTTGAAAATACAAGAAAATAGAAGTATTATGATAGTTTACAGAAAAACTTTAGCCTAGGATATTAGCAGGAAAAAAAGAACGCATTTCTGAGTAACTCCTACACATATTATATTTGGAAGAAAAACATTAAAGATTTTTCTAAATTAATGCCTTCTCTGGGAAAAGGTCTGCAGATCCCTGTGACCAAATCATTGAAAAGACCTACAAAAAGCAAGATAAGAGACAAGCAAATCAAAAGCAATCATTAAAATTTTGCAATGTTCCCACATGCATTAGAAATTAAGAACAAAAATCAAACAATACAAGTTATTAGATGTGTGCAAAGACTAATATAATTAGAAATTGGGTCATAGTAGTTTGAGAAATTAGTAATTTCTCTGCATCCCATTCCATGTGTATGTGAAGGCAATTGCAATAGTAATAAAATAAAACCACAACAATATAACTTTAAACAGTTGATGAAACAAACCCAATGCTGTGGGCTTTTTAATTTTAGGAGAATACAGGACAATAAATTATAATGGAGATTAAATCAGAAACCCATTTAAAAGCATTAAACGGTTACTCTGTGCATACTCCTGGAACACACTACCAAAAGTTACCTTAAACTCAAGTTTCAGAAAACAATTATGCATCATAAATTTAAACCACCAGATAGGACAAAGTAATAAATGCTTAGAAATGCTGAGACCTCAAGAAGGTCAAACTAGGCAAGAATTTTACAAAAACTTAGTTCAGCAGATGTATTTATGATAAATAAGCAACCAGACCAAGTAGCAAGATTTGCTGGTCAGATATGATGAAGATTCTATTTAAGGCTTAAGTTCTTCGGGGCAAACTTTATTTGCCATCTTACATCATGATATTATTCTCGACTTCGTACCTATACTCTCGTTAATACAACACAAACACCCATTTTTGTGGCAACAATTACTGTTGCATCAGAAACACTAATCTCTGATAAAAATCTTCTTTCTTAACTTGTCTTTAGGAAGACATTTACTTACATTTTAGTAGCTTCAAAAGATCTTCACTGTTACTCTGAATATTATTTTAGAGCACTGATGTAATTAAATCTTCTTCTTCACCAAATTATTCCGGACTAGACAACTGTATTATGTAATGCAGCAAACAGGAAATTTCCTGAAAATCAAATTACCAAAGTATTAAATAAACTTGGTATTTTAGAAGTAAAACGTCTAAAATATATTTTACCATTATGTTTTAGAAATTTACTTTAAAGACAGTATCATGGAGTAGGAACTAAATCTACAGTGCTGAACCTGACTGCCTAGCATCTTGATCTGGATTCATTAATCCAAACTTCAAAGTCTAATTCATTAAAAGTACCCTGTGAGAAGAAAAAAGGCAAGCAACTCCAAAGGGCAATTCAAATACCGATGACCTGTGGCATGACAGTGATCCAACCCTATGCCCTAGGGAGCAGGGAACATTAGCACTGCCAGCAAAGCCTAGTCTACAGTGACAACTGGTTTGTGCACCCAGCTCTAGCTGAAAAGCAGAGCTTCTGATCCCCAGCAATTGGAAAGAAAGGCTTTCATGGACAAGGATGCTGTATGTTCTCCTGCTCCAGCATAGCCTAGCTTCAGGAGTTTCTATGACTTTTTCAACCATGTCAACTACAATCATCCTTGGCTTTGGTTCTCAGCTTTTCTGAGCTCTCAGCCTGAGCAAAATTTGTAGGAAAACATCCAAGCAGACCAACCCACCAATCTGATGCAAGTCATACTGTTCCTTCTTCTGGGGAAAAATTATGCACAAGAGCACAACCCAAATCCTTCAATGTGGCTGGGATTTATAAGAGAGACAGGGAAATGGTTAACTTCCTCCATCTGTTCTTTGACAACAGTAATAAAAAGCCACACCATATAAAAAGCACAGCATCATGTGCCAACTGTGTTATCAAAACCAGCTAGCAGGTGTACTGACAGAAGTGCAGCCATGTCAGCACAGAAATCAACTTCTGCTAAATCCCAGGTGTTTATCCCAGCTGTTTGGCACTGTGAAGTTCTGCAGCGCCAGTGCTGCAAATCCGTAAAGGAGAGAGTGTAAACTAGTAAATATGTGCCTACATAAGCTGTGGCCAGCCCCTGTCTATCAGCTGAGCCATCTACCAACAGCTACCTGGAGAAAGACACAGCCAAAGTGCAGGGAAAGCTAACACTCTGGCCAACAGATGAGCCCTTGGAGTCACGAGGGAGGGGAAGTGGCTCATTAGGCTATCCTGGGTTCCCATCAGCTGTAATCCAATCAAACTGCTGAACAGCAGCAGGCTTAACTCAGCAAACTGCAAACCCAACTAACTGTGAGCCCTGAATGCTTCTTACAACTTAAACGTTAAGGCAGGATGCAAACACTGAGATCTTCAACATTTAAGCGCCTTAAAGTAAGACTTATCTCCTTGGCTCTTCTGCGACCTTAAAATTTAAAGCTCTAAAACTGCTGTCCTTTATCTAGAGCCAAAGAAACAATGAAATTGGAAGAAGCAGCTAGCAAAACCTACAATTACAACAAACTATATCGACTTCTTTCTGAAAAATGTAAAACACAATTTGGAATACCGTATCATAAAAATATTTCTTACTAAGGCCTGTGCAAGCCTAGTTCACAGCCCACAGTTTTAATTGTTCAATGAACAACTGAACTCTACTTCATCACAGTTGGAGCTTGTCTGAGAGACTTGACAGAAGCTATAGGGATTGTCTAGAAAAACTGGTTGTAACACGTTAAGTATTTGAAATTTGCATGGTTTACTTTCAGAACACAATCTGTAACTCACTTTTAATAACCATCAATTCCTGAGCACCCTCAGGCACCAAGTCACCTGCACTTTTTTAAACAACAAAAGACACTCACAAAGAGATGTCTCTTTTGTTGCTAGGCACTCAAATGCACGTTTGAACCAGCAGGGTGTTTTGTGCTCTAAAGCACCGGCCAGGGTAACAGCAATGCTCTGGATGAGGAGAATGGATGCAGAGGATGCTGCTGATTCTAAGAGGCCACTAAGAATTGCCTCATCTTGCTTTAGGTCATGCAGTGATGTCGTGCATTTCCCTGTGGAGGGTGAGCTCATCCTGGTGGGGGGAGGTGCGGGGAGGGGGGGGGGAGAAATCATGGCAGTGCTTTAAAAATTGATTACAAGTTTTTATTCTGCTCTTTGATATTATTTTCTCTGAAAGCTTAGGTAAAACGAGGTTTCAACTGTAAGGAAATATAAAAAACAAGTCATTGAAAAGAGCAACAATATTTTTTATATTCGAGCAAAATATATTCTGTAGATTTTAGGAAGCTTATTTTATAATGTTGTATCTGAAAAATACAATTAAAAAAACCAAACATATGAGACAAAGACAGCGAATATAAAGATGATGCTACAACGATCTTTACATACACTAAGTAATAAAAAATGAAGTGGCTCAAAAAGGTCCAAAGCTCTGCAAGCTGCCAAAAAATGACCAATGTCTCTCTGTACAGCAATAAAAGCAAAAATATTTTTCCCCTACATAAATGCAGTTGTTCCAATGCTTTTCTTTTGATAGGAAAATAATAAATAAACTAACTTTTTACTCCATTTCAGCCTGGATTTACTTATTCTACTTGGGCCTAATGAAAATAAATTCACATCATGTGTCACCACTGTCATAAGAACCACCAGGTTTCTTTTTAAAGCAATAGTTATTTGAAATAAGAACCAGCAAAAGAAATGAATGGTATAGTGATAAAAATAATACCAAAGCTTCTCAGACAGGAGAAAGCAAATAACTAAACTGTCTTTAGTTACCAACTGGATCCTGAAATATGCAAACCACAGGAGACAACAGATGTTCAGTATATATCCGCTGCTACAAAGCAGTGAGTGCAGCACTACTCTATGAAACACATATTCAAAACAGACATCAGTATCGTAAAACATCTCCTCAAAGATTAGGAAAGGGCAGTTTTCCACCTCACCAGACTGCAAAAAAAGTCAAGCATTCAAAGAAGGTATTTTTTGTACATGAACATATATACATGACGTATCATACTAATGCAGACATACAAATTAAAATTTTTCCACTCTACAATGTATAACGCTAAACAATAATTATCTGACTAATAACGTAAGGAAAATATAGGAGCTGACTATATGAAAAAACGAAAAACATTTGAAATATACCTGAACATTTTCTGTGCGATACTACCCTCTACTAAATACTGCTACCACAGAAGGGAGCAAGCATACTGAGACAGATCTTCCCATTTACTTCTGGTCTGGATGTAGTTGCTGGAAAGCCCCGACACTGGGCCAGCATTCTGATCTTCCAAAAGCAAACTGTTTGGTACTCAGCATGAAGCTGTAAAATCAGGGGAAATTATTCCGAGTGTAGATGGGACCCTTGAGTTATTAATTCACCTGTAGCTATTAATCACATCACCACCGCTACAAGCAACAGCTGTATCAGGTTCCGCAACATTAAGGGCACGGTGTGTTAGTTTGAAACCTACCACATGACCAGCAGATAGCCGAAGGAGAGAACGATGAGTTACAGGACAAAAGACCACAGATAACCAGCCCTATTCTTCAGCCCAGCAGGGAACAGACGGGATACAACACCCCACGGGCAGGGCTTTTTTACGTGCTATCAAAAATTAGTCACAGCGCCTGCCAGGACCCCAAGCACGCTTTTCGTCAGCACAGACGAGATTTAACATTCTTTGTTTCGGAAGATCCAAATACAGATTCTGATCCCGTGTTTCCGGTTCATTAATGGTTTACTGAGGGGATCACCATAGAGCGGCTCAGAACTAAAGCACCCTTTTTTTTTTCCTTGTTTTTGTCCTCTGTTTCGGCAGCTTCTCCACAAAGACAGGCTGAAAGGAACCAGCTACCATAAGCTTCTGGAAAGCTGGTACCCGAGGCCCGGCGCTCTGGCCCCCGGGCAAGGCCGGGGCTCATCCGCGCCCACCCCTGACCGTCCGCCGGGCCTGCGGGGCCGGGAGCTCCGCGGGCAGCCGGGGCAGCGGCGCTCCCAGCCGGGGCCGCCCCGGGCGAAACGCGGCTCCCCTCCCGCTCCCCGCAGCCGACTTCCCCCAGGAGAGATGCGGGCGGCCACGCGGACCTGGAGAGCCACTGGTCCACCCCACCCCCCCCGCTTTGTTCGGCCCTGCCACCGCCGCGCCCGTATCCTGACACCACCACCGCGACCCACCGGCTCCGCCGCCTGCTCGCTCCGCCGGCGCTGCGCTCCGACCCGCGCTAACCGACGCTCGCTCGGTGCGGAGAGAGCCCCGGCACTGCCCAGCCCCCTGGCGCCCCACTGGCCCCTCCCCGCGCTGGGCGGGCGGCCCGCCCCAATGGCGGCGGGGAGCGGGCGCGGGCGGTGAGTCGGTGCCGGCGCGAGCGGCGCGGGGAAGGAAGGCGGGCCCGGCCTGCGGGCCGCTCCTGGCGCGGCGGGAGCCGTGCGACGCCAGGCTGAGGAGGCTCGGGGTGGCTTCTCTGCCCTGCTCTGCTCTGCTGTCCCGGCGGATCTCGTCCCTATGGCGGGACACTGAGCCACCGCGTCCTGCGGGCTCTGAGCGATGAGCTGGGTATGGCTGCCCTTGCTGCTCTTGGGTGTGAGTGGTGTGACCCAAACCTTGTCAGATTTGCGCTTTTGCTTGAGTTGCCCTGTTGCCTGAAATATGTGTCCTATTCTGGTACATTTGCACTATGTTGGTGCGGCCTCATTAAATGCTGTGTGCAGTTTTGGGCACCACAATATAAGAAGGTTATGAAACTATTAGAGAGTGTCCAAAGGTGGGCTATGAGGGTCATGGAGGGCCTTGAGGGGAAGCCGTATGAGGAGCAGCTGAGGTCACTTGGTCTGTTCAGCCTGGAGGAGACAGGGGACACCTCAGTGTGGTCTCAGCTTCCTCATGAGGTGAAGAGGAGGGGCAGGCACTGATCTCTTCCCTGTGGTGATCAGTGACAGGGCCCAAGGAATGGGCTGAAGCTGTGCCAGGGGAGGTTTAGATTGGATATTAGAAAAAGGTTCTTCACCCAGAGGGAGTTTAGGCACTGGAACAGCTCCCCAGGGAAGTGGTCACAGCACCAGACGTGATAGAGTTCAAGAAGCATTTAGACAACGTTCTCAGGTACATAGTGTGACTCTTGTCATGTACAGGGCCAGGAACTGGATTAAATGATCCTTCCAATTCAGAATATTCTGTGATTCTGACAGAATGATGGTTTGTAAGGAAAAGGCCAGCTAGAATAATCTTTGGGGACAATTACTAATGAGCAGCCCCCCCTCCTGACCTCAGTGAGCAAGATGTCTGTGGGTGAGCTGGCCTGTACCACAGCAGGACCTTCCCTTGGGCAGGGTTTTTGCCCACCTGCATGGGGACTGTCCCTAGCTGCCCACAGACCTGCCTTGCACAACAGCACTCTGATGCTGAGGGCTGATTTTGGCTTTGTCATCAACTTTCAGGTCAGTTAGTTTCATATTTCTACATCGACCTTCAGTAGCAGAAGTCAGAATAACACTGGAAGCTACGTATTCCAGCTTCTCATAACAGATACTGACCTACTTTTTGAGGTCTTATCACCAGGTGTGATGTACTGAGTTTTGCAGTTGCAATCTTAATTTGAGGAACAGATTGCATACTGGAACAGGTTGTCTAGAGGGGTTGTGGAGCCTCCCCCACTGGAGATACTCAGGAACTGCCTGGACACAATCCTGTGCCAAGTGCTCTAGGATGACCCTGCTTGAGCAGGAAGGTTGGACCAGGTGACCGACTGTGATCCCTTCCAACCTGAGCCATTCTGTGATCCTGTAATTGTAGAGGCCATTTCCTCTACTAGGGGAGGGGATGATGAAAATTTGTTGTGGTTGAGGGAAGATGAGCGGTGTTTGTTAATATGCCACTCGTCACCTCAATGTAAGGATATCTAAGCTAATTTTCACTAACGTTAAGGAATTTAACATGTTCTTCTAAGCCTGAATTGGTAGCTGGGAGAAAATCTCACGGATTTATTTGTGTCAAGGACCATGAATTCTGCCATAGAACTATGTTGCATGATACACACTGGCCAGGAAACAAATGTAATGTTATTTTGAGTAGCAGTTAATTTGCATATCTCAGCTTCAGTTGTCAGCAGGTGAGGGTAATATGTTTTGTCGTTATCATGAGAAGTAAATGGAGAAGTAGTCTTCCATAAAATAGAGAAAATGAAATAGCAAGTTCTTTAAGTCATTGCTCAGGAGACATTTTTCCAGGCTCTCCATGCAATCATCCTGCTGAGTCAATAACACTGAAGTCCAAACATGTTGTCACCAAACAAGTTGGTAAGAAAATTTCTTTCAGTCAAGTCAAACAAAAGTAAGTACTGCCCTTACTTCTGGTGGGACATAAGAGAGGAAGATAAAATGAGAATTTCCCAGTGAACTCTGAAGACTGGTCTGTAAGTGTTAATTGTAAATGTGTATGGGCTATAAATAGATGTGTTGTGTTACAGTTCACACAGGAATTAAGTTGCCTTGAAAAACCTTGACATGTTGGACTCCTGAGAGACTGAGTGGACTACAAGAACCATGATAGGTTTCAGTTTAAAGTAACAGTCATTAACCTTCTGCCAGCTGTGTTTCTGCAAAAATATGGCCTGATATAACTAGAAAGTTTAAAATTAATAGAGAATTACGGGGCTTCTCCTTTGCTTTCGTTTTTTAATGGTCACCTTGTGGAAAAGGGCTGATATAGGGATGTTTTTTGCACCCACATAATTTACAGCCAACAGCACCAAAATGAAACTGAAAGTTTTGTTAGCACTTCTGAGAAATGCTGATTGCTATCTATAATCTTTTCATTCCCAGAGAAGGAACTAAGAGCATAAAAAGGGAGTGAAGAAAATGCACAGGCCAGAAGATGGACAAGGGGGATAGAGGTAATATGTTTGATCCCTGTTAGAGAAAAAACATTCTGTTACTTAGATTTGACACAGGCACTGACTATCAAAACATTGGCAGGCTTAGAACAGTGGGCAGAAATGTAAGTGTCCAGTAACTTCTGCTGTGGAAAACTTGGAGGGGGAAATGAGTGGATCTAAAATTTAGGTTTCAGGGCCCCACAAGAATAGTTAAATACTTAAATTTTCCTTGTGGATCCAGCTTGTTAAAGGTTTGAATACTTTTGAGTACACTCAGTTTCATTTTTATCTTTCATTGCAACCCAGGAGTTGTTAGGAGAACCAAGTGGTTAGGCTGGGCTGAACAAGAAAGTTCTCCTTCATGTTTGTTACTTCTTGCCTCTCTTCCTCTGTTTCACAGTTTCCTGGCATTGCTTTTTACTGATTTGTAGGTGTTCCATTTACAGATAATTGTACATATGTGTGTTTATACTTTATTACATTACTTTACAGCATTTGGATTACTTTATGGAACTAGAAGCTTAAAGGTTGCAAGATAGCAAGAGTCAGTGCATGGTTCTAGTTCTTGAAAAGAGATAAGATTGCTGTTTTAATGTTGTGAAAAGTACACGAGCTTTGAAAGCAAGTGAAAGTATTAGTGGTCAATAGCAAAGGTTGGCAGAGGAGGACGGAGCTCTTATTTTGGATTTCAGTTCTTTTACTTTGAGATACTCAGAGCTAAAGTAATTGAAGTGTTAATTCCTCCTATGAATTCAAGTATTGTACTACCCATACAAATTAATTATCTCATTTGTCTCCCCAACCATAAAGCAAAAATATTTTTTTACTTTTACTCTTAGTATTTTTAACTCTTTACTAATGTTATGTGCCTAGTCGACAGTTTGTATACTTTCTGAGGAGTGTAATACCATTCTGTAGACAAAAATGAAATTTCCTAGGCCTTCTTTAATTGTCTTTATTCTGTTGTGTTTATCTTTGATAGTGTTTATATGAAGCTCTTGTACTTCCAAAGCACTGTAGAGCCATTTAATATTAAAATGAGTATCCTAGCAAGGTTGGGTGTTGATTTGGAATTTTGGCTACTCCCATTTAATTAATAAATGATATTCAACAAAACCAGAATCAAAAGCAGTGAAGATATATTCAAATTAAAATTGTCTTGCAAATGGATTGATACTGATTTGACTATTTGTAATTGCTTTAGAAGAAATGAAGAGAAAATGGCAAGAAAGACTGAAGAAAGTGGAAGAACTAGCATCTCACTATGAAAGACATCCTCTTCCTAAAGTTTATAGACCAAGACTGTCCAAACCCTCTATGCCATCCTCTGTTTGGAAAATATTTTCTCGACAGGCTGAAGCTTTTAATTACATAAAAACCTGCCAAGAGGTATATTATGTGTTAGGTGAATGTCTCTACTCTTTATATACTTGCAACATTGAACATCACTTAAAATTCCTGTTGGCAGTAAAGTCTTTATCCGTTTGCAAGATCTTCCCAGTCCTGAACCAGCAAGTTATTTTTTCCTTTTTTGTCTTTGTAGGTCATGTTGCACTGGAAGTATCTCTAAGAAATACTAGTTCTGTTCTAACATACAAGTTCATATGTGGTGTTAACTTCGAATAGTAGAAGCTTTTTGGGAACATTGTAGTGATAAATTTGTTCCTTCTCAAGATGGACAAGCTGTCACGGTGGGCAGGACAATGGGAAGGTAGTGAGAATTGAGTAGGAAGATAGAGGAGGAAAAAAATGAGGAAGAGAAAGAGATAAAGAAGAGGCAGAGACTAAATAAAAACAATACGACTCTTCAGTGACATTAAAGTAGCAAGTTTGGATGATTATAAGAGATTAGGCAAATAGATATTGTGTGAAAGATATCCTCTGTTTTCGGTTTAATACTTTTCAAATTGATTGCTATTTTTAAAGGAAGTATTGTGTTTTTCTCCATGCTGTTTCAGGTATTTAAATAATCCTGACAGCCTGTCTTCCAAAATGGGTTCTTATTGGCTTGGCAGTAGTTTTTTTTCTATTTTCTTCTCAGATTTCCATTTTTGGATCTAGACAACATAATGTCTGAAGAGTATTTGCCCATAAAATTTATACTGCCATCATGTCCATGAGGTTGCTCCTTTCAGGGCATTGCTCCTTTTCCCTTCAGATGTACTTGACAGTGATCAGAAAAAACCAAGAGTTTGCAGAGAAAACAGTTTACATTACTGCACAGCAAAGAAAAGCTCCAAAGTTTTACCCATGTAACTGAAATCAGAATGATGTTCTAAATTAAAACAAGATGCTACTGAACGTGGAAAAGCATAAGTGATCTGTTTATAGTTTTCTAGTATTTACTAACCTTTAACTGGTACCAAGTAGGAACTTACAAAGATATAAATTGTTTTTTGAATAAAACTAACGAAAAAAATTCAATGTTTTTATTTAAAAAGGATGTTCATGTGTTTGCTTTGGAAAAGAACACACAGAGTGGACAGAGGTTTTACCTTGTGACAACATATAAAGAGCTTTGGTTTTATTACACGTGAGTATTTGAGAAGGTACCCTGTATGTTACTAAAAGTTAGTGGTATACTGGATATCCTACCTAGTAAGAGGTACCACTGGATGGGTACTCCCAGGAGCCATCTGCTGCTCTGAGTAGCACAGAGCTGTCATGGGTTACCTGAGGTTTCATCTTGACAATGGGAAAAATGTTCATGAGGACAAAACAATATATTCTATAGCGGGTTTCAATTTTCTTTTGAGTAGCAGGTTGCCATTATTTCCTGTGAATTAAGTACTCTGTCTGTTGAACTGAAATTTATTAACAATAGATGTGCTTTGGCTGTCAGCTTTCCTCAGGGGATCATACCAACACATGACAAAAACATACTTCTCTGACTAGTCATACAGCAGTTTCAGTGGGCATTAATGCAGATGTCTGGAAACTGATTTATGGGTTTGCATTTGCTTGATGTGCTGAACTTTTCCTCTAATTTGTTTCTTTTATAATAAAACATTTCACTATGAAGTGAAAGAAACCGGAGTAATTTTTTATACATAAAGCCTGATTTTTTTCTCAAACTGACTATGAGATTATTTTTTAATTTAGTTAGAAAAAACTATATAATCTCTTTGTTTGTGCTAAAGACATATGAGTGATAAGTTTTTTACTGTAGTTTTCATAGTTGCTTGAATTCTCAGCATTTCTGTATGTATTGTAAGACTGGGGGGGACATGGAGAGGAGAATACTTTACAAAATTAAATTCTAGGCCAGACAAATAATCTTTGTTGATATTTAATGCTGATGTTAGTTACAAATTTTTCAAAGCATCATAGGCTACAACATTTTTTTTAATATGGGTGGTTGTTGCAGAATAAAATATGTGGGATCCTTGTTTGCAGCTGATAAGCATGTTTATCATGCTTGTAATGTTTATCATGAGAGGTTGTGATTTGTTTTTGTTTTTCCTTAGCCAAGGTTACAAATCAAGTCTTATGCATTGCTATGAAGTAATTCCTGAAAAATATGCTTGCAAACTTTATTTTGATTTGGAGTATTACAAACCAGCGAATCCTGATGCAGATGGCAAGAGTATGGTCATGAAGTTAATTGAGGTAAACTGGAGCAAAGTCATGCTGTGGATGAATATGAATTCGTTGTTAATTTAATATGAAACCAAAGTATTTACCATTTTATCTTGATTGTGCTATAGTAAAATTAAAAGAATTGCAGACCCAATGATTATTTTTAATCAAGTAAAAATTCTATTTTAATTAAAGCAAGAGTTTAATCAAAGTGAGAGACAAGAAATTTAATTTAGAGACAAAAATAAAGAATGATGGCTGTTGGACTGTTTGTATTCATGGTAGGTTTACTGACATAGTAAGATTAGTTTTAAAGATTGTTTTATGTCTTCTGCCATTTCAAAGCTGTAAAACTGCTTTAAGAATGTTTAGGTACTCTTTAAAGTAGCATCAATAAAACTTCCATTCATATATTCCTCAGTTCATTTCCTTTGCCTAATGGTGCAGTCCTATATCAAGGCTTAGATGAATTTCTCCTGAAAGTTTATTTAGATGACAGTTCATTATAATTTAGTTAAATGATGATCTAAAGAGCATCACGTGCCTGCATTTATCATTTGGTACCGAAATGGTACCCATTTGGATCATTTATCATTTGGTACCCAAAATTAAATACCTTTGCTAATTACCAATTTTATTAAATAGTACAGTTTCCATTTTATTGCAATTTTTTTTTCTGAATGAGCTCTTTGCAAGTTCAATATGGCATTCTTATGTTTTTAGAAAAATATCTTTTAATAAAATCTCATTGTGAGTGGATGTCTGTGAGACTTCTGTCACCTACAAGTCTCTAGCTAGAAGTGAACAAAAGTAAAAGATTATTGAGGTAATTCCTTCATAAAGTACCTTCATTAACACAGAATCTGGAGGGGTTTATCCATTGTGGATCAACTCTCAAATGCAGAGATTCCTCAGGCTAAGAAGAGGATTTTAGATTTGCTGGGTGGGGGATCTGAACTGCTAAAATCCAAAGCTTCCAGATCTTTAGGTTCTGAGTACTGCCCTAAACATGAGTAATCACTAGCTTGGTTTATTAAAGGGGTTTTTTTTAGAGCTAATTTAGAGTGAAATATGTTTTCTGCTTAGTTATTATTTATTGGGTCATTCCAATGAATTAGCTAAGTCATAACAGTGAATTAGCTCACCAGTCCTTTATATCGTGACAGCCTCCGTCTTTACTCCTGGTGAGCCTGCATTACAAACATTGCCACTGTGGGTGTGAGCTGTTTGTGGTGGAAAACAACCTGCAGGGTTAAGCCTCCTAACCAGACTTTGACCTGAGAAACTTGGAAGTCTTCTCAGCTTATCACTGTTAGTTAAGTGTCATGTGACTGGCATATTTAAGGAAATGCAGTCTGTGTCAAAGTTGGTTAAAACTTGATATGGGTTAGTTTGAATTAAATTAATTGTATCCTCAAAATGAGGGGAAAAAAAAGCCTTGAGAAAAATGTAGAAGCTAGTTTTTATAGATACAACTACTACAGTAAAGCAACATAAATAATGTTTATAATTTCAGCTTGTCAGCCAAAAATTAAAAGAACTTTATGATGTAAATTGTTCATCAAAAGATGTCTTGAACTTGGATTCCAGTACTGATGAAAAATTTAGTCGGCACTTAATATTTCTACCCCAAAAGACTGTATTTAAGGATAATACTCATATTGGTGAGTGTGTTCTTTTCTCCTACACCTAGAAATAAAAGGTGAGGTGCCATCTCCCACGAGTATTTATTTTAATGGAATTACGTGGAAACAAATATGTATTCCCAGCATACACATTATTACTGTCTATTTCATTAAGCCTTGTTTTTTCTCATCTTCTACTTTCTTTTTCTATAATTAGCTGGGTGTTTGCAAAAATGTGACCTTTTTTTGTGCCTGTATGTTTTATTTTAAAAATACTGATTTCTATGAAACTGGCAAGTCCACAACTCGTTAATTCTCAGATTAATGTCAGTCTTAACAATTAAAGCTGCTGTTTTTTGCTCTAAATACACTTAATTTCTGCTCAGCACATTGTCAAAAAGGCAGGACAAAGATGATTTCAAGCCACCTGTGCATAAACATGGTGAAGAGAAAGCTGAAAGCAATTGTAATTGTTTAAGTAAGTTGGGATTTCTCAGATATGGCAGCTCCAACACAGAGAATTGCCAGTTTAGGGTTGTCTTGACTGATTTGTATGCCCCAGTTGTGCTGTACTGAATTATGGGGATGATGATTTTGATGTTTGATATGCTGAGTCATTCTGTTGATATGTATCATGAGAGGAACAGTATTTCATATTAATTCGTGTTCCCCATGGAAGCTTTGTCCAACAAGTGCAGAATAGTCCTTGCCAGTATTCCTTCCACTTCATATTTTTTTTCCCACATCTGTATTTATTCTATTTTCTTGCTTTCTCCCTGGAACTAATTTGGCCACGGTTTTTATTTGTCTGTCTTTGGTTACCATCTGGCAGAGCCTGGAGGTACAGTGGGAATTGAATTACATACAATACTGGGAGTTTGAAAAGTCTTTACAAAATACTCTTGTAAAAGTAATTTGTTGTTTGAATAAAGCTTTGGTCCAGGTCTCACATCAGTAAATACACCATGAAGCTGCAAGTAAACTTCAATCATTCTGAAAGTGAAATTAGGGAAAGCAGTAGTGAGGGGGACAATCACAACCTTTTCAGAATCCTAAATCCAAGCTTGTTAATATTTAGAACTGTTTACTTAAAAGACATTTAATACAAATTCTTGCAAGGCATTAGTTTCTCAGTCACTGGTCAGAAACATTTTATACAGTGGGCTGGTCAAAAGATTTATTTTTAGAAATCCAGGAGGACTAAAAAGACCCCAAACTTCAACCACTTCCATCTTGGCTGTTATGAAAAATGTTTTGTACAGAAACTCTCTTAAGTTTTTTCTTGACTCATAAATGAAGTTACCTGCTTCTGGCCTTTTTTGGTTGTTTTTAAGGTAATTTTGTGAGAACCATTTTGCAGCCTGCCATAAGATTAATGGACAGTAAAGCTGCTGAGATTCCAACAGAAGAAGCAGGGCATGTTTTCCAGTGTTCTGCAGGAGCTGGATTAGATGGTTCTCTTACAAATCTCACAGCTGGTGAAGATTATTCTAAAGACTGGCCAGCCATTGCTCATGAAACAAAGGATATGGAAATGCTACACCAAGGAGAAAATTTGGATTTTTCCTTCCTAATAGTAAACAATAAAGAAGGCAACAAGCAGCTTTTTGTGGATCTAGGTAAGTGTGTTTTTAAACCTCTCTGGGATGCAACAAAGGTTAAGAATGAAATGTTCCTTAATCTTCAATTACAGAAAGAAGAACAGTGTTGTTTTTACTATTGTCCCTATGGTCAGACTTTAAAAACATGCTGAAACTGTGACTGTAAGTGCTGTACTTTAAAGGAACCTTGGATTCATGGTCCGTGGAACTTTTTATATTACTACATTCAGTTATTTTTTTCTGAAGTTTAAAGTAATTCTTTGTACACAAGACTAATTTTTTCCCCCTTAGGGGCTTAGTGCACCCATTTGGATTAATAAAAAGAGGATAGCATATATTGCATTTTTGTTATTTCAGTTGAATTAGAAGCTGCTTAACAAAGGAACAAGTCTTACAGGCATGGCTTTCTATATTCTTCTACATGTAAGAACTGAGCCTTCTTTCCCTGTTTGGAATGGCAGCTGTTAGCTTTCAGTGATAGAATAATAGAAATTTTGGCACTTCATGGCTCAGCTGGGCATAGCCTGTTCATGGTATTAAAATGTTACAAATCTCCAGAGCACAACACCCATAGTCAAACTAGAGTTTGAAAGTTCCACCCTTCTTTACCTCCTTATCTTTCTGGTTTTTTTTTGCTTTTTGCCTTATCTCAGGGAAATGAAAATAGCTTAGCACGCTATTTGCACAGCAGTGTGTTACACATTTCAGGACTTTACCTTGGGTTTTTTCCTCAGACTCTTCTGAAGAGCCCCCATTCCTTCAAATTCTTCCCATGGAATTCAGGATCACTTTTATTGTGAGCCTCTTCAGTATGTCTGATCTATTGAAATGTAATCCCAAATTTGGCTACAGTAGGCTTCTCTGTTACTGAGTCAGAACCTACTGTTCAAAATTCTTTCAAGCATATTGGTGAATGCAATTTAAATAAATTTTTTTCCCTGCCTCAATTTTTAAAATGATTTTATGTTAGTTTTCCAAAATTAACCATCCTCAATATTTATGTTATACATATTACCTCAGAATTGGAAAGCTGAAGTCAAAATTGCTGAAATACTGAATTATATAATGAGGCTACAGAGACAGAAAACTTTGTGGTAGTCTTCTCATATGAGTTCTGTAAGTGCTTTTTCTCTTCATGAAAATCAAATGCAACCTGCAAATAAAACTCACCTTCTCAATTATTAGATAGATTATGCAACGTTAAGATATCCAATCACTGTTTTGTTGTTTGTTTTTGAGATTGGAATTAAGCTTTCCTGATACATGCTTCAGAAAAGCTGTGAAGCAGTCTACAGAAAACAGAAAGTTTAAGTTCTTTCTGGTTAACATAATTGTGCAGCTTTTTGGGCTCAGTTGTATTTCACCAAGTTATTGTGAAAGAACCAATTTCTTGTACTGAGGGAAAACTTTTAACAATTATAATGTCAGAATTATTAAAATGCCTACTTAGAGGTGTTGAGCATTTGTCTTAATTATTCTGTAACATAAAAGTGTAAATGTGTGCATGATCTTGCTTTGTTGCATTTCTTCTATCGGATGTGAGCCAGTCAGTAACAGTTTTTGTCCATTCATTAGACTCTTGACTCGGCCTAAGGAGAATTGTTTAATTTACAAATGCTCAGTATCTTAAATCCTAGCCAGCACTGCTGTGTTAAGAAATATCTGTTTTCCTGTAGGAGTTTATACAAAGAATAGAAATTTCCGGATGTATAAGTCATCAAAAGCAGGAAAAAATGTGGTTCTGAAGATAGCAGAGGATAATAAGTTTATCCCCAAGTGTGAAAAGGATATTTCCTTGGAAGAAGCATATTTTCTTTCCTCTTTAATCTGCAACGTTGGGTAATTATTTAATTCCAGTCAAATATATGGTATTTTTAAATATGTATTTTAATGATAATTCTCCTGTAGCAGTTACAAACAACTACTAGGAATAAGCAATTATTGAATTAACATTGTTACAGTGTAATTTAGGAGTTCCTAGTAGAATTCCTTGGTTTTGAAGAAAATAAATTCTTAGGAATCTTTTTCTTTTGTTAAACCTGCCTTCAAATGTGGTACAGCTTCTGAATTGTGCCTCATTTCTCTAAGCACATTCAAAATGCCGAAATATAATCATTATTAAGTTTAGTCAGATCCTGTGACTAGGAATCAAATATTGCTGTTGGGGAGGAGGGACCCCCATCCTATGGTGGGAGTTAGGGAAACTGCCAAGGCCAGAAGGGAAAGTGCTCCAGGGAGAGGGAAAAGCAAACCATGGGATGACCATGGGATGGTCAAGGTTGGCAGAGACCTCTGGAGGTTTCCTGGCCACCCCCTGGGCCCAGGGCTGTGCCGTGTTGTGCCACCCTGTGGCATGTTACAGTGAATTAAATTGTACTGTGTTGTGCTGTAAGAATCATAGTCTTTTCTTTGTATTCTCTCCTTTCTTCAGAGCAAGTGATGACATAAAAGTTCTGACATCTGGCTTTTCAGAGGAGGAGAGAAAAATGTCTGCTTTTCTAAACAGTAAAACTACCAGAAACAGCAGAGGTACCTCAAGCCTTTTCTCTACTGCATAGAAAAAAAATACTCTTAACTTAAATGCTCTGTGACTTGTACACCTGGTAACTTCTAGGAGGGCCCTTCTTCAGCTGCCTTTCTGCAGGAGGCAGAGTACATCTGCACTGCAGGATGCTCTGCAGCACCTGAATGCCACTGACCCTCCCCTCCTGTAACCACAGCTGTCTTGCTTTGTCCCAGGTCCCTCTGCACCTTGGGGGTGGCAGTTTAAAGATCTACAAGAAGCAGTGACTTTATATCTGCTTCTGTTTAAGGGTGTGATGTGATTGATGTAAATTCTCTGCCTATGGTCTATATGAAGTGTAAGTGTTACAATGGCATATTACAGTGGCAGGCCCTCTAACAGTGTCTGTTTGTGGCCTTTGGTTTACCAGATCCCATGGAAGGTTACCAGGGTTCGCCGTATCCAGAAATTGATAATTTTGTTCGTTCTTTGGTTAATAAAGATGGGCTACAAGGAGGTAAAGAGACCACCTTACTATTTACAAATTAGTCTTCTGCAGCACAATTTCTAAAGAATTTAAATAATTATTTTTTTTTCTCAGGGATACGACAATGGAGTTACTTCTCTCTCAAAGAATTACTTATTTACGATATTTCTGGTTACCGTTGGTGTGAAAATATTGGAAGAGCTCACAAAAGTAACAATATAATGTATGTTCTTTAACTATTCAGTTTAAAAGAGCTTTATTTATTTTCCTGTTCAACTGTTATTCTCTCAAAATGCTGAAAAAATTCTTATGGATAAAATCAGCAACTGTTACACTATTGCTGTCTTGCTCTGTGGGGATACAATATTTTATTTACAAAAAATCCCCCATAAAACCAAATAAGCTATTTATTCCCCCCACCCCAAGTTTACTCTGTGGTTACTGGACTTTTATTTCTCATAGTTCTATGAAGTAATCTCCATGGTATTTAAAATATGGGCCCAAAGATGCTAACATAAAAGTCAGAGTATGCTAAAGCTTTTAAATAGTATTATGTTTTGATACTTCCAAGCTAGGAAGCTGAAAAATAAGAACGCAAGCAGACTGCTTCTGAATTAATTTACAGTGCATCTTAAATTACATTCTTACATTATTAAAATGACTCTTTCATTTTAACAATTGAGAATTGCCATTTTAGGATGATAATTCCTGCCACATGAATCAAGAGGAGTTTTGCTAGTGGCTCTACAAGGACTCAGGATTCCTGTAGTTTTAGCAAAATAAATGATGGAAAGTCAATTTTTTAGATTATATTAGAATTACAGTATATAATTAGTATAAATATTTTAACTTGAAAATAATTTTATGTAACATTTAAAATCACTGAAACATAAGGAATGTGTTTCTGAGAAACAAGGATATTCAAAAAAGCCCACAGCTGGATGAACTTGCTGTTTCTCAAGTGAGTTCTTGAAGTTTGTTTCTAAAGCACAGTTGAAAAAGCTAAGTGGCCTAATCAGTTGACAGAAAAGATTTTATGTGGCTTTTATAATGAAATTGTGTGTAACAGCAGCAGCAGCAAAATCTTATCTTACAGTTAAGTCCCATATGCTAATCTTAATGACTTTTTCTTCCAAGCTTAATGTAATGAAATTGATTACATTTGACTTTCAGTTGTTAGTCTTAAAAATTTATTTCTTTAAACTTAAGAAACCTGAAGTTTACTAAAAATCATACAAAACAAGTATGTATGCCAAGAGTATGAAAGCAATGGCCATAGCTGAGGACAAACAAAACCTGTTCATTTAGTGTTAGAATTTCCTACTGTATGAATTCATTTATGTACTGTTACTAAAAAACTAAATAATTTAATTCTTAGGATTCTGGTAGATCTAAAGAATGAAGTGTGGTATCAAAAGTGTCACGATCCTGTCTGCAGAGAACAAAACTTCAAATCACAAAGTATGTACCCTACGATTCAATTATACTTAATATCTTTCTGGAATGTTAACTTTAATTAATATCTTATATTTGATTTAGGTTTTCCATTACCGCCTGGGATCTGCCTCCCATCCCTTTTCAAAGAGGTACGTTTCTGTCCTATTGAGATGCTCAAGTTCTTGTGAGGCTCTGGAAGTCCTTGGATATTCCCACTAACATCCCAGTCTGCTGGGAGAGCTCCATGCACTGTTACAGTGGTATAGAAGAGGTCCCCAGAGCAGCTGTGCTGGTGTGGTAGCTTCATGTATTTATTTTCAAGTTCGCCAGCAATGCTAAGTGACTGAAATTGTCTAATGTCACCTGGGACTAAAGACTTTTTCAGTTCTGATGTGAACAGCAGTTCCCAATGTCTGAGCCACAAGGCCACTCCAGGTGCAGAACAGAAAAACTGCCCAAGTTTAGCTCTGCTGTGCATGTCTGACTTCATGCAAGGCAAAATAGAACTGGTTCTGGAACACTTGAGTCAGTCAGAGTCAAATGTCAGTCAGCAACCCTCGTTTCTGAAATTCATTTATCTCCGTTTTAGTGTATTAAAGCAGCACGTTTTCCCAAACAGACAGAATACTTAAACAGACCTGATACTGCACCTAGACTCTGTGCCCTGAACATACAAGTTTTTCCACTGCTTAGGCAATAAGAATTGGCATTTTTTCAACTTATAAATTTAACTGTACAGCTCTAAATGTCATACAGCAGAATGGCATGTTAAGCTCTACTCAAGCAGCTCATCAATAGCTGTTAGTGTTATTTCACAGAAGGTGTCATTTAACTCTATTTTCAGGTCCTGATAGTATCTTTGAACAGACACTTAAGTTAGTCTTAACCTTGTATTATTTTATGAAGCTGTATTCAATGGGCTACTTTACTTGCAGGGTGCTAGAAAAACAGCAAATTTCTAGTCCTGTTAAAATAGGCTTCCACAGGTTAATGTGGCTATACATGAATGTGCTGGAAAGTTGTGTAGTGTTGGTCAGCTTTCTGCAGTATCCATTCTTTGTGACAGCACAAACTTCAACCTTGCAGAGCAGTTAAAGGTAGAAAGAGTATTGCATATGGAGTAAGTAGTGTTCTTGTTTCTCAAAGGAAGAAGAGTCCACCCTAATGGATGACAGGGGGCACACAGAAGGAAAAGTAAATCCACATTCTAATGTGTCAGGCTTGTCAAAAAGCTCAGTATCTGCAGAGAACAGCTGGTCTCAAGACTTCGTGTTGTCAGACAGTGAGTGGGAAAACACACGTGACGACGCCTTTTTCCTAGAAGCTGCTGAAGATGTGGAACTAGCTGAAGCTGCAGATGATAGTCTGAATTATGCCATGGAAGAAATCCCAGATGAAGTTCTTTTGGCAGCTTTAAGGAAAGAAGACCTCTACGCTAAAGAAGGCAGCTAGGCACAGGCCTGGCCAGCAATGAATGACACTTGTGTGTCGCATGCTGGAGTGGAAGGTCCTGTGGGGTAGTTCACAAGCACCACTCCAGAGCTGTAAGACAAGGAATGGAGTGCCTGGGTGAACTTCAACAGGCATGAGGAGATCATGGAAGATTACAGGGGGGCAGAAGAGAACTGGACTAAAAAACTCATTGTGAATGCTCCTCCAAGCTTAGCACTTTTAACGCTCTTTGCTGTACAGTTTCTGTTTTGTTAGTTGTTTGTCCAAGTTTTATTGAGAAGCCAACAGAACAGACTTCTTATTTCCATAAATGAGATTAAATAATTTATTTCAAATGCAAATTTAATAAAGAGATTTGTTTATTCATCTTTGTTCAACCAGACTCTGTGTTCTCTTTACAAATATATTCCTCTCAAGATTATTTAACAGCACAAGATTAACACCCAACCTTGTTCAGAGTACAGAAGTTTTATTAACTGCAACTGCTATTTCCTTTCATTGACATTCTGAGACTATTTGACAATAAAAAGATACAGTCTCTAAGTTGCTGACTTCTTTTAAACACTGAAACAAAATAGAGTAACAATGATTAAACAAGCTTTAAGCACTGACAATTCTAATAAGTGTTTCTACTTACTGTCTGAAAATCTTAAAAGGACACTTAATTTTGCTTTGCTCTCTGTTCTTTTTGTACAGCCAGAGCCTCTTCCAGCTTCATATTGATACTCTCAAAGTGCTTTTCCGCTCCTAGAATTCTCCAAGACTCCACCAGAAGAGCAGGGAGGCTGGAAGTTCCATACTGTTGATAAGGAAATGAAATTACAGGGCAACATTACAACTCTTGTAAGGATCACTTACATAAAAGTATTTATTTCTGCTGTCTAAAATGGTGCAATATAACCTTTAAAAGTGAACAACAGCCAAAATCAGAGTGTCTTCTGAAAGGTGAGGATTTCCCTTACACATGGCAGGTGTGTAAGCCTTGTCCACACAAAATACCACAATAGGTTCTGGGTACAATAGGAACGGCTTCTAAGGCTACATGAGAAGTTATTCTGGTCATGAAATACCAACACTGTTCTCAGTATTAAATATCTTCCATGGAAGGATCTTACATGCATCCTATATGCAGAGCTTTCCCTACTTTTGAACAACACAAAAAATAAATTACTTCTGTCCCGTTATTAATCTTCAAGTTCTATAAAAAAGTTACAACTAAGGACAACTGTTTCATTTCTATGTCCTTTGAATTCCTGGATACTGAGAGCAAGGCAGCAGAATCTCCTCTGAAATACTTCAGCTTCTAACATGCAACCAAAAAAACAAATGAGATACCATAGTAAAGTTCAGCAGTGATTCTCAAGTTGCTTCTACAAAGACCAATAACAAAAAACTGGATTTCATAAATTAAAACAAAAACACATGCAGAATATGTACTTACTACCACTTTTTCTTTTGGGTTTTCTTCTCTATAATACAAACATTCTTGCTGTAGCTCCTTTAAATCGGTAATTAATTCAATTGTTTGCCTCAAGGAAGATTTCCTTTCCTGCATCTCAGCATATTCTCTCTGTAGTTGAGTCAGTTGTGGTTCAGCTCTGAAAAAAAGATCAAGACTTTGATGCTTACATCTTCATATTTATTGCATGAATAACTATGATCCTGTTTCCTCTGAAGGAATTCTTAAAACGTTGGTCAAAAATATGAAACATAGGTTACTATGGAATGGTGCTTGGGTAGAACAAGTATATTACTTAAACAGAGGCATGAGTCCAAATCCACCAAAAAGACCCACACTTCTCTTTTGAGTCTGACACTGCAGCAACTCCTTCTTAAGCATTTAAGTTTTTTAAAGTGTAGTTTCTTAAATACAAGGTGTTCTGCACACCCCTGCCTGGCAAGCTCAGTTGTTCAGTGCTTATGCTGAAACATATTCAGGATCTACAAACTACCGACACCTCTGCTAAATAAACTAGAGTGCTCAATTCATTAAAGTAGTACTCCAAAAACTGAGCACCAACAGTGATTTCCATCCAACAGGATTGCAGGAAAGAAGCTTTCTTAAAATGATCAAAGGATTAAAACACAACATATTAAAATGTGAAGACAGCTTTCAGAGGCTTCAAATAATTCTCTGAGCAAAGTTTGTCCATAGTACTACAAAGAAAAACATCTCTCATGGCCATAGAGAAAAGGCTTTTACCCTGTTTTTGTGGATCCAAGCCCATGGTTTCTACAGAGTTACCTTACAGGGTCTATGTTAAATGCAGCTTCAGTATAAAGCTTTTCACTAGCAGCCCAAGGGATTTGGGGAAGTCTAATGGTTCTTCCAAACACGTAATTGCTGTGTTGTACACCTAAATTACATTTAAGATTAATGCCGAGATAGAGAAAGGGAATTGTGTGGCCACATCAGAAGGAAACAAACTATATACTAAGAGCAACCCCTGCCAACCTGCAGAGGTGAAATACAATCTCCCACCTCAAAACCAAAGAATTCCTCTGTATTACTTCCGTAATTTATGATCCAGCACCTTTGCAATTCAAATTATAACACTGGTGTTCTTCCTATGAGCATATGGTGTGAAACACCCTCCCAGTAAATAGTTAGCTAAGAGAACTTGCAAGAATGACTGTCTAGGTGAATGAAATATGTGAAATGAAATATATGAAAGGAGAGGTTACCATGAGCTTTTGTAAAAACAAAAGACAGTGGTAGTTTCATCAAAATGAGAAAACAAAAAAAGTTACTTTCCCTTCCAAGTTACAAAATACCAGACTCCTTAAGTTCTTCAGGCTATATTATTGTGCATCGTTAGAAACACACCCAATTAGCTCTTCTCTGACTTGCACCAGTCGCTGCCTTTTCTTTCTGATGTTTGTCATTGCCTGAAACAAACAGTGAGCAAAGTCTGTGAAACAGTTTCTAAAACTTCAAAGGCAAACAACTCAAATTTAATTGCCTTTTTTTTTCTCTGAGATTTTATGCTGATTGTCACTGTGGAAAATTCTAAGATACCAGACCTGATAAACTGCCATATTTTACATCTGTATTTGAAACAATTTAAAGCTGTTTAAAATGTCAAACTCTAATCTCCATCCAAAATTTTTCTTAAAACACATTGGATTTACAAGCATACAAGAGGAGTTTGTGACATTTTGATTTCAAACATTATGAACTCTAGGAGGTTTTAGGTTTAAAAATGAATACAGATGTATGTTCAGGATGATTGCCATAACTAAGCAAGTTCTCTTTAATATAACATACAATTTACAATTTAAAAAAAAAATTAACACCTAAAACTCATAAAATTAAACTTAACAACTAAAATTTTAATTGTAAACAAATATCTAAGAAGCAAACTAAGGATAAATCTTACTGGCTGTGAATGCTAGGTATTTAATTAGATTTTCATTTTATGTGCAGAGTAGTTTACCATCTCACCTGAAGTCAACACGATTTTAGCATAAAAATTGCTACTTCCCAGGATAACCTTTGTGTTGACTTTATTCGTTAAAGCTATTTTGCCACTGAAAATTTTACAGAATATATAGAAATCCAGACAGTGCCTGAGCTGTTCTTAAATCTCTCCTCTCTAGAGCATTCACCTTTCCCTGATGAAACCATGCAATGTTTTCTGCCCTCACACTAGTGCCTCCTTCTGTCAACATTCCCATTGCATTTTCAGCGAATTACTACTTCCTCTAAATTAAGAGAGGAACTGTCTTCCTCTGAACAAAAACTCTGCATCTATTTAGGGAATGCAGCTGCCTGAGACTTCCCTTCTTTAAATTAAGCAATCCAATTCTATCCTCATAGGTTGCTACCCTTGCTGCTCTCTTAGATTTTATATTCACTTATGTTTCCTTAAGGTTAGCTCTCATTATTTAACTGTCTCTCCAGAGGCCTCATCATTACTCATTAAAAAAAAAAAACAAACAAAAAGCTAAAAGAGTAATTGACATGCATAGATCTTACCCATCCTAATGTGCATTCATTCTTTTTCCCCCATATAGCAGTATAAAACTAGAGTTTGCAATCCACCACATTTACTCCAAATGTTTTTTTCCAGAAAACCTCTCGTGGTTCCCTAATCTCTGTGCAGTTGATTCTGAGTACACTACACCTTTTTGTCAATTATTTTATCTCTTCCAGTCAAGTTCTTGACATTCCAGTGCCCACAAATGTATGCTGTACAATCTAGAGATATGTATGTATTTACCTTAGCATTTTTCTTCTTCATATTCTTTAATTCCTGGACTCCTGCTATCTACAGAGAAGAAGAATTACAGGTTGACAGGTTGAGTTCATCACTATCTTCCTAAAAACATGGTTGCAAGGATTACTTTGGAATATCAAAAAAAGTTGGTTTTTATTTTAAAAAAATAAGCAACCCTGGTTCAGAGGGACATCACTGGTTGTGTATTGATTCTTTCCTCTCTCCTCATGCCAGAGGAAAACTGTTGGATAAAAGGAGTTAGTGCAAATCATACTCCTTGTACCAATTCCTGTAATACTACCTACCTTAATTTTTCTATACCTTTATATAGATGTATTAATATGGTAATTCCAACACTTGTTACTTCTAATGAACCACTCAGAACTACAGCTTTAGTATTTGGCACAGCTCCTGCAAAGTTCTATGTTCATTTTACTCATCATAATCACCTTAATCTTTCCAGCCAATTAATCACAGAATGGTTCAGGTTGGAAGGGACCACAGTGGGTCTTCTGGTCCAACCTTCCTGCTGAAGCAGGGTCATCCTAGAGCACATGGCACAGGATTGTGTTCAGATGGTTTTCGAATATCTTGCACTTACAGTTATGTTCAAAATGTTAATTTAAAAAGGATGATTTTCCCTGGATTATGTTAGAGGCCTTACTGAGAAGTCACTGAGATTGCACAAAAATTAAATCAACCTTTTGAAACTAGTCAATGAGCTTTTAAAACAGTGTTTGAGAGAGCTGTATGCTCATTTAAATTATACAGCTCACCATTTTCACTACATACTGATTTAGATATGACAAACACTTCAGGATTATTGGCTGCTTCCCTATGCTCAAAAGGTGACAATTTGGCAAAGTACTTGCATGACAGCAGTGTTGTGTCTAGAGGCAATTCCTGTGAAAGCCTGCACAGAGGCAGCCAGTCATAACCTGCACACGACAAACTGTGTTTTCATATTACGTATACTGACAAGAGACTGGAAACTTTTACAGCTTGTAAAATGAATGTGTAGAGGGCAATGTAAAACCATAGGTATTTTGACTACAAAATTGATTTTATTTCTGGTGTACTTACAAGATCAGTGATTTGGTCCTTGAAATCAGAAGAGAAGTCATCGATAGCCTTTCTGCAAATTTTTGATTCTATGCTTTGTCTGGAGAAGTCAGAGGAACAAAACACATTAGATTTAATAAAGGGGAAATCTCATCCAAAACGCTTCCTTTGAGCAACAGATAAAACCCAAAGTTAAGCAGCTAGACAACTACAGATATTTCATATACTGGCAATAGCTTCATTTTACATTGAAATATATCAGCTGAGACATGCTGTTCATGTTTCGAATATCAAATCCCTGGAGACCATGTCAGGATCACATGTGAAGAAACATTTGTAATAGATAATAGATAATTAATAATCATTAACATCAGAATGTAACCATGCAATACTGATTCCCTAAACGACAGTCCATTAGCAAAACCACAGATATTTCTTTTTTAAACTTTGAATATGCAGTCATGGGAAAGCAGAATATTTACCTGTAATTTGCTGCTATCTTCTCAACTTCGGCCAGAACAACATCCAGTTCTGTAATATCTCTAGCAGATCTCTTCAGCTCTTTGGGACACCACATCTGCATGGAATGTGGGCTATCCACTGGAACAACAAAATGGACATAAGCATTGCACAATTCAGGTACACATTGTAAAACAATAGAAAAACTCTTGTGCTCACCATCAAAATAACCATCTAAAAGTTATGAGTATTTTAACATGAAATTTGAGAAGAGGAATATTCAAATTATTTCACCTTCTTTGCCTGAGCAACTGTGATAGATTTACCTGGAACTGGGATGATCAATGATATGCAACTTAATTCTTATTCTTTATTGATTCAAGCAAGCCCAGGAACACAACAGTAAACTAAGTAATAAACTATATAATGTACTGTAGACATGATTTTTTGTGTTAAAAAATTATTAGCCTGAATTTACAACTTGCATTACTCAAAGAATCGTGAGCATTCTTTTGTTAATACCATACATGCTTCAAAAACCCACTATACACAAATACATTTCTTTAAACTTTGCAATAGTATTATAAACCAAATCCACAAAAAGTTAAACAATCTTTCTTCACACGCTCCCCAATGTAAATCTAGTACTAAAACGTGATGGGGTTCTGTTCAAAGGAAGCAAGGTGACACAAGAGACAGCTTCTTCCTACTGAAAAATGCCACGGTCTTGAAGCTCCCTGTCTCAAGGGTCTTTACACCCACAGCTCTGCAGTCAGGGCACTCCAAGCTCTGCCCCACAGCTGCTGCTCCAGGCTTCCAGACCAAGGAATGTACTGACACCTCCTACAGCTTCATAGCCATGGCTCCAGGCTTCCCTCCAAAGGAAACCAGGCTGACTTAAAGGTATAATGCACATCTATGCTTTACCCCTTCAGAGGAGGAACAGGCAAATTCAGGGATGGAAACCACGGGGATCAAACGGGGGTCTATACCAAAACTGAAACTAAAACGTCCCATTTCTGGAAGCACTGTGTTGCTACATTCCAGAAATTAAAACCATCGAAAAACTTTGATCTTGAATGAAGAAAAGCTATATGGGAGTTCTGAAAAGTGTACTTTACCAGAAGGATCTGATGTGTTCTCCTCTGAAGGCTGCTTCTTTTTTGCCTGGAATTCAGTAGTATTTACAGCCTTCTGTGACATGAAAAACAAATTAACTTCCAGAATAAAGCCTAGGTTTACTCATCTAAACTCCTGAGAGGCGACAATTAGGCAAAATGCAGAAAGCATTTCCTGACTAAAGCATCAGTAACATTTCCTTTGGCCTGTTCCACCCAGTCCCAGCCCAGTGGTCACTCTGCTGTGGGGCAGTGGCTGCCTGACTGCACTGCACTGGCCACTGCCCTGTCAGCCACTGGCCATGCAGCAGGGCTGGAGACATCCTAAGGAGCTTAAGGACCCTTGGTTCAGCACAGTCATTGCTCAGGATTAACATTTCTCTGATCAACAGTGTCTGCTCACCTTCCTTTTCACCCACATTCTGTCCCAATCCTTTCTCTACTTCGACTACTTTGTGACACCACACCAGCACTTGTACAAGAGTGCTGTGTGCATCCAGCTACTGATGAAAGACTAACACTCTGAACTGAGTGTGCAATTCCAATAAATTTCAACACATAAAAAACTCTTGCTCCAACTACTGCACAGCTTCTTTTACCTTAGGTACTTTCTTGAGCCTGCAGGTAGTTGACTCCTGCTGTATGTCTGGCAGCTAAGACATTTTACATTTTACTTACTCCACATTAATTGTGGAGTAAGTGTTCAAAAACACTCATTCAAAACAGAACAGCTTTTAATTCTAATGCATATTCAAAATTAATTTTATCAATATTCTTTTTCCCATAAATCTGTTTTGCTTCAATATCAAACAAATACAAAAGATTCATATTCCATCTAGTATGCCATTCCTCAAGAATGTATATTCTAGCTACGAAGATAATTGAAAAAAGGAAAGAATATACTCCCAAACGAGCAAGAGTATAGGCTGTAGGATCCAGGAACACCTGGCTATTATATTCCTTGTTGATGTGATGTCTTGTAGCCTTAAGCATTTCACCTAGCCACTTCACAGGAGTACTCTGAGGACTCATTATTTTGGATACAGTTAAGTACTAAGACAGTACTAAGAATCAATTGAAGGTCTTCCTCTCTCCCCACCCTGTAATGCAGGCATAGCATGAAGCAAACTAAAATTAAATTGACCAATAATACTCATGAAGCTTTTTCAGTACCACAGTCTCCTTAAGGGGTTCCTCTCCAGCACCAGTCGTGTTGAATTTCTGAACATCACCATTGGAGAGCTTTGAGTGACGTGGTTTTTTACTGGGAAAAGAAAAAATACACCACTACTACTAACCTCTGAGGAAGGATTATCTTAAACCATGCACACAAAACCTTGTGTTTTGGGGAACATTTTGTACAGCTATGTCTCATAAGAGTACTATTACAGCTCTTGCTTGAATTAAATAGCAAGACAATTTCAAATTTAAGCTAGATATTGATTTAACATATGAGGAATATACTAAAATTTCAATTAAAATATTTTAAAAATAATTTTCTTTGTTACATATAATTTAACTAGAACACTTTCCCCTTTAAATCTAAAAATCTAAAGATTAAATTAAATGCTGACAATTTTATTTGTTTTCCACCAGACCATCTGTCTGTATTGTGCCTCTGTGATGCTGAAACACGACCAAGTGCCTCGTTCTGTGAATGTTCCTCTCCATCAGCATCCACAGCAGTACTGTGCAAAGGGTGATCTACAAAGAACAAAAGATAAACTGTATGAACACTGCTCCCATCTTTTAAGGCAAAGAGCACTGTGAGCCATTAATCATTTAGTTAGAATATTTGTGGTTCGCTAACTAATAAAAAGTTAGTTCTTGTTACAAGTATTATTTGAGAACCATGAAAATATATATAATAAAAGGTTTCATAGTTTCTGTACCCATCCACCTGCTATTTCTTTATGAACCCAAACCTAAGGTAGCTCAGCACAGGGCAAGGCAACATATGGCATAGGGCAAGCAAAATACTTGCTACAGTTTGTTTCACGTGTCTCTTCGCTATGGCATACATAAACCTTTTACACGTTTAAACTGCTAATTTTTTTTTTTTTTAATATAGATTTTAAGCTGCTTTAGTAGATGCTATGGGAATGCAATTACTGCTGCTACAGAATATTTGTAAATGTAGAATTCTTGAAGGTAGCTACCAAAATAGACTAGAACAGATAGAATAGATTCGGTTTCAGCATGTTTTCCACAGTATAAATTTCCTTTTTCAAGTACACTGCCACAAAACTTTTGTGTTAGTTTACATTAGTGTCAGTGGGCATCCTTTTTACAGTCAAAATACATACCACAAAAATAAGGAAAAGAGCTTTTTATTTTGCAGCCTTGCCTTACAGACAACCCTTTCGCTAAATTGTATTTTATAGCTCACTGTCAATCCTGTTCCTGTCACATATTTATTTCCAAAATTTTCTCAGAGTAATAACTATTAGAGACGAGAAATAGATCTTAACATTTTCCCTATAGCTTCTAATTACACTGTTTAAAAAAAAATAAATATATAGATAGATATAACAGAGGACTCCACCCAGAGTAGCATCTACACCACCTAAATTGATTCTCTCCCTGTGTATTGAGGCCTCATTACACAAGTCAAATATAAAGCATGGAAGTGGTTTTAATCCTTCACCAAAAATTGTATGGCTTTATGTTACTTTTTTAAGTAACATCTGAAAGTGGCAAAACAACACTCCTGCAAATGTCCAAGTTTGCTGCCTTGAGTACTCTTACAATGGCAAAAATTTCACTTCATAATTTGTGTAATTTAATAAAGAATAAGTTAAGATATTGAACTTTGGATTTTAACTTTAAGTTCTTACACAGCTGCAATACTATGATGTGTGAAATTCTACCAGACTATAAAGGTGGGACAGCCAGTATTTTTCCATTGACTTTCATTTGCACATACTACAGCATTATTCCTGTTACTTCCTAAATGATAGAAAATAATACAAAACCCCATCTGTCTCTCCTTTTCATTACTTCTCTTGCAAAGAACCAAAACCTTTTCCTAGGTAAGCACCTGAAGTATTTTGCCATTGTGGCTGGTTTGTGAAAATCAAACACTAAATGACATTCAAGATAATACTAACCAAAGGAATCATCAAGCTCCTCAAGTTGATTTGTTTCTGCTACCTTCAATATCCTTGAGACATCTGGTTCCTCAAGTGGAAGACATTTCCAGCGACGATTGGAGTTGGCTTTGTGCACCTGGATGGGTATGAAATTAACAGCCAGTTTACCCAGCTTTTTGAGTGTACAACAGATTAAATATGACAATGAATTTCAAGAACATTTGGCTAGAAGTACACTTAACCAGAACCATATTGACTCCTAATCTATGGAATAAGGATTTGAAGCAAATTTTTATCTCAGGCTACGGGGATTTTCCCCTAAGACAAGTGCTGGTACAAAATGTGTATGTTCTGCTATTTGATACTGTGTTCTACTTCAAGCTTTATCTTATTTCATAAAAGTGCACAAGCTTAGAAATCTTTTAACACTCTAGTACCTGGTTTCTATGATCTGTAGTCTTTTTCTTTTCAGGCATTAAAATATTTCTTCTTTCATCTCTATATCACAAGTTTCCACCCTTGTCCAATTTAATTACTTTCATCTTAAGAAACTGAAGAGCTACAGAGTAACTTCTTAGAGAAAAAAAGTGGAGTTTATAAATCAAGGATTACAGAGACACTTCTGTAAAGCAGAAAGGTAAGGGAGAATGACACTAGTTTATGAAATATTTGTGTGCCATTCACAAAATGCACTAATTACTATATGTATCTGTAGGGTAAATTATAACCAGAAAAGATCGACCTCTGGAGCTTTATAATTTTACCAGTGCTTAGCAGTGCCCCAGCATTTCTATTATAGTATCAAATATACAGATAAACTACTTTCTCTACAGACCTTCTTTTGAGATTGTTTTTAAACTTTTGCCTATTTGAAAGTCAATGGTCCATTTTGTGCTACGCCTAAAAGGAAAAAAACCCACCAGCCCATCCCAGCAGGGACTGCACAGCAGTTCCCAGTGCAAAGCAAGCCCTGCATTAAGTCCTGTGCGTCCCCCTCCAGAGACAATGCCCTGACTGCACAGTAACACAACACAGAATCACAGAATATCCTGCACCAGAAGGAAACCACAAGGCCCTGCACAGCACTCCTCAAGAGTCACGCCATGTTCCTAAGAGTGCTGTCCAAACACTGAGCTCTGTCAGGTTTGGTGCTGTGACCACTTCCCTGGGGAGCCTGGTCCAGTGGCCAGCCATCCTCTGGGTGAAAAGCTCCGAACATCCAACCTCAACCTTTCAGGCCGCTGGCCTTGATCGCCTCACCGGTCACCAGAGAGGAGATCAATCAGTGTCTGCCCCTGAAAGCCCCTTGGTGAGGAAGCTGAGCCCACGATGAGGTGTCCCCTCAGCCACCCCTCACACGGCTTCCCCTCAAGGCCTTCACCGCGCCCTCCTTTGAACACTCTCTACAAAACCAAAACACTGATTTAAATTCTGCCCAACCTACAGAAACTTACCTCTAGCTTAGAGCTCGTATGATTCTTCAAGCAAGTTCTTTGACAGGACCAATTTATTACCTTAAGATGTGATGTAACACTTTGTTCTGCTCGTATGATTCTTCTTCATTTTCTTCTTTGAGGCCATTTCGCTGTTCAGTATATGCTGCTGAATACAAAACCGAGGACGAAGTTAGTGAAAAATTGTCCCCGATGCAAATCAGCTTTCTCTGTCTGCGCTTGGGACAGAATGGGAAATCTTTGTTACTTCGAACTATTCTTTGTTACTTCAAGCTATTATGCTCAGCTCACTTCAAAAGCGGTAAAACTCACTTCCTTTAGCGCAGACAGACGCAGAGGTTATATATTTATGTACGGATGGATGTATACAGCAGGTATGGGTGAGCCGGGCACGGGACGCTGCAGTTCAGGCCGCTCCCTTGGCTCCGCTGCCGCAGCTCCTCTCCCGCAGGTACCCGGACCCCGCTGCCGCCGCCGCGGCCGCTCACGGCAGCTCCGCCCGCCGCCGCCTTTGGAACGCGCGCGCCCCGGCGGGAAGGAAGGAAGGGGAGGAGCGGGAGGAGGCGCCGGGCCGGAAGGGGAGCGGGACAGCTCCGCCTCCATCCCGGCCTGCCCCGCTGCGGTCAATGCAGCGTTCCGAAGAGTTCACCTAAGCGCCGCCCTCCTCAGTAGTTTTCTGTTAATGGCTCTAATTAAATACAACAAACAAACCACAAGAACTTCCCATTTTCTTCTCCCCTCCCTCTCCCTGAACTGACGCTGTGCCTCTGGAAAAGCAAGCGAAAGAGTTCGCTTCTGCAAAGATAAAGTGAAAGCTACGGCCAGGAACAGTTAATTTAAACAGCACAAAAATAGAGCTTGCTTTAAGAGCGTGCCAAAAAAAAAAAAAAAAGTAGGCTGTGGCTTGAAAATTTTAAATTCCATCTCTGGCAATTAAATTGTTAAGAGGTGATGTAGTAATTTGTTAAGTCCAGTCGGTTGGAGGCCACACCTCACCCACTGGCAGTAGTGACACTCACACCCTTACACAGCCCTTTGGCTTTAGCCAGACAAATAAGCTAAAACAGTGAAAGAATCACTTCAGGCTTCAGAGGTGGTAAGTGAGTTCGAGCACCCAGCCCCATGAGCTACAAATAAGACAGTACAAATTTGTTTCTGTAGTGATAGATGGCTTTTCCAGAAAGGTTTCTTCAATAGAATGTTGTTAAGAACATAAACCTTATATCCAGTTCTCATCCATCTGTCAGCTATCGCCCATAGGAGATGTGTAGTGACAGTTCCCTGCCTTTCTAAGCAGCATAACTCAGATTTGAGTATGTTAACAAATAAGTGACAAATTTGGTTTAGGTTTCCTTCAGTATGGAAGAAATGTATCAAGGAACGTACAAAATTACTTAAAGAGGAGAAACTCTACAGTTTGCTTAGTATCTTGCACTGACATCTATATGCACATGTGCAGGTGGTGGTCTTTCCTCTACCCCAGTCTGGTAACTTTGCCCCTGAAATCTCTCAAACCATACCCCTGATTCAAGCCAAATGCATGGTGTGAGGGCAGGAATAAGGAAACCCACTACCACCCAGTTAGAGTTTCAGAAAACTCCACATTTCAGGTAAGTCATTTGAGATAACGGTAAGAACACAACTGTCAGGAAAAGACAAAATATTAAAGATTTACTTGTTTAGTAATGTACTGAAAGAGCACGTTACATACAACAACATTCTTCTTACAAATATTGGCCAACACCTTAAACATAAAAAGTCACTTTCCAGAAGTAAAAGTGTAAACAACCAGCCTTTATACTGCATTTAGTATGGCTGTAGCAGTGGAGTTTTACAGCTTGTCAGTTAGAATAGCACCTGGGCTTGTTAATCAGCAGCATTTTTCCTTGATAAACAAACACATCACAGCATTGAAATGCAGAAATATTTATTTTGGTTTCCTTCATTGGTTTTGAAAATTGTTTTGGTTTTATAAAACATAGAAATAGCCAACACTAAGCAAACATTTGAATTTCAATGTAACAAACTACTGCTCTAACAGTTGACTTGGATTTGTGTACCTGAATTGCATACACATATGAAATTATGCTACAGAGTAGTGCATTACAATCACACACAAATCTTAGTGCAAACCTTGTTGTGCTTGTATTTTACATATATCCATGTTTTCAAAAAACAGCAATGAATGTTAATGCAAAACCAACTCTGTTAAGGATAGCAAAAGACTTATGCTGTAATAAGGCTTATTTCTGCTGATTTTTCAAACAAAAGATAGCTAGTTATTATTTTGCAATTTATCTGGGAATTAGGTTTTTATCCCTGAACAAATACCTATCCTGGGCCAACGCACAGTTCTGTTGGCATGTATAAATAATTCCAATTGCTGCAAAGCATCAGGCAAAAACATTCTACCTGACCTATTTTGCTATTCAGTGAAGAGTACTCAGTGGCTCATACATAAAGCACAGAAAACAGAGGTTATGTCAGAAGTTCTTCCACTTACAGAGGGTCTGGCACATTTTTATAAAATGCATTTTAAATACAAGTTCATGACAGGGAAACAAGTGTCTGGTACAGATGCAATGTTTACCCTGACTGTTATCATAGCCCAGCCTCTTGATTCGGTTTTTAGGTCTCTAGTGTTCTTGCCAGAGTTGGGATCTGCTCATTTGCAGGGCTGGCACCACTCCAGAATCATGCTAATGTAGCAGAGGCTACACTTGCTGAATGAACTGCATCCACACAGTGCAGAACCACCATATGCAGACTTTGAGGAAGTTCTATTCATCAGTCTTCTTTGTGTGGAGTGCTGACTTCTACCTTATAGAAGTACATCCCATAACTGGCTGCAGATGTAGAAGGGAGATACAGCTCAGATGCCTTGCCCCGGTTAATATTGGGACTAACAAAAGATGTGATACCAGCTATGCAAACGGTAAGGGTCTGGGGTTTTTGGTGGTTGGGTGATGGGGTTTTTTTTTGAACAGCTTAAGTAATTTTTCTGAGGATGCAAGATACTTAGAGGCATTTTCAAAGCTGTCAAATCCTTTGTGGAATTGACAACTGCAAAACACACTGCAGACAGCAAACATGCTGGCAATAAAACCTTAGCTCCTTGGTAAAGGTGGAGTCCCATTTTTGACCAAGGAAATATTAAATAACTTACATATAGTTATCATTTATAGTTAAGGCTCTTTTTGGAAATTGTAGGTCACCATAAAAACAGTATGCAACACAACTTGACAGTAAGGCAGTGTTCCATTTCTTCAATGTTCCTATGGCAAGTACCCATTTTTGTACAAGTTAATGATTGCACAGTTTCCTTCCCTATTTTTGCTGTAGTCAAAATACAGATATGAAGGCCAACAGTAGACAGACGTGTGCCACTTTCCCCATTCCATTCACAGTTACATTTTGGCATTAGCATAGAGTTCATCTATCTGTGACTGGAAGTATTTTCGCAGTTCTGGTCTCTTTGCCTTCAGTGTTGGTGTCAACAGGCCGTTTTCAATAGAAAACATTTCAGTGTGCAGGACAATATCTTTCACCTGGAAAATAAAAAGTTACTAGTCAAGCTGTATTCCTTGAAATAGACAAGACTATTAAAAACTTGCCCAGACATCATGACAAAGCCTGTCACTTGAGACATTTTCCAGACAAATTAAAAGCAGTTTCTGGAGAATCAGATCATATTGGTGTTGAGAAGTTTAAAGAGTTAGGTATTTGGTTCTCATAAGATCATACCTGTTCAAATGACTTCAAACCAGACTCTTTCCCAATTCTAACCATGTCCTCCAGAATGCATTTTTTTACATCCTGTGGATATAGAGAAACATTGTATAGCTTCATGCTTCCATAAGCATTGAAAAAGTTGATGCAGAACAGCTAACTGTTCAGTTAGATATGCCTTACCTTGTTTCTGCATAGCTCTTGATAGGAGCCTTCAAATCCCTTTTTCTTGGCCCAAGTGTGCAGAGCATCAGGATCGGGTACCACAACACCTACTAAGAAGGCCTAAAAAAAAGGAAGATAGCTTGACAAAAATTCCTAAGCAAATACTTTATTTCCTACATGTTTCTTTGGGGAGCATTTCTGATCCTGCTGTAAAGTCAGCACCTTTCTGCTACCTGAACATGGGAAATTCAGTTCAGAAGCTGAACAAAGAATTAAAACCCACATTTCTCTTTACACTTGAAAACCCTCAAGATATCCACGTTCTTTCTTGGTGTGCGTGGGGTTTTCTGTCTTGATTTTTGTTTGTTTGGGTTTTTCCCACTGCACACTGTTAGCAATTCATATAAAGTCATTAATATGCAAATTAGTTCATCTCCACTACCTTGTGTGAAACTAAATCCAGAAACATGCTATGTAACTGCTGGAATCCAATCAGAATCCAAAATGCATAATGAAAAACTTACAATAAAATTTAAATTTCAGTCCCAAAGTTTGGGGTGGGGTGAAGGAAGAAAGGAAGGCTTTTATGCAGTCTCCTTTTGCATTAATTTTTAAAATTACCAGGAAAATGCTTACCTGCAAGCTCTCTCCATGGACAAACACCTGTGCAACAGCTTCACATCTCAGATACACATTCTCTATTTTCTCTGGTGCTATGTACTCTCCCTGGGCTAGTTTAAATATGTGTTTTTTCCGGTCAATGATCTTCAATGTACCATTCTGTTGACAGAAATAACTTTCACTCAGAGGATGCACTTCAAGTGAAAAACCAATCTACACACCTTAGGCATGGCACAATGGCATAGTAAAATTGTGCTAGAGCCAGAGAACTGACAAACTAAAAGTTAGAAAATAGATAATGTATCCATCTAATTTAAACTGGGGAAAACCTCAAGACTGGCACTGTCAATACTTTTAAGGCCCAGGCACACAGATTCAGCTACAACAGTGATTATCCACAAATTCCTGTCTTTCACCTACGTAATTCTGTTCAATACCAAATATTTTCTAATATATTTATTAAATTTCTGCTAATAACTATAAAAGTATCATTCCAGCTATGTAAGTGTACTTACTGGTAGCCATTTCCCAATATCTCCTGTGTGAAGCCAGCCATCTTTGTCCAGAGCCTCTGCTGTTTTTTCTGGATCTTTCAAATAGCCACGAAATACATTCACCCCTTTAATACACACCTGAAAAGAGTAATTTGTTAATATATGCTACAATGAAGGAAAGTTAGCATTTGTTGACAGTAGTGATTGCTTTCTCCAGTGGTTCTTAACCGCCATTAAAAACGTAAAAGGAAGTTCGTGTTTGTACAGGAAATTCTACTCATAGTTTTGGAGATTTAACATCTTCCACTGGTATGAAATATAAGAAGCAATTGGAAGGATCTATTCTCTTCCAGTCAAGCAGTGTTCCTACCCAGTATTTGAGT